ATAACCAGCGACCAGACGGCGAACGGAACCGTGCACACGGCGCAGGGACCGGTAAACACGGTGGACACGGCGGACTCGGTGAACACGGCGGACACGGCGGGCACGGCGCAGGGACCAGTGAACACGGCACACACAGCAGACACGGCAGATATGGCCGTGTCTGCTATACGATATGCTATGCGATACGGACACCGCGGATACGGTGGACACGGCGAACACGGCGGACACGTTGGACATGGCGCACACTGGTGAATACGGTAGACACGGCGGACACAGCGCAGGGACCGGTGAACACGGTGGACACGGTGGACACGGCAGACACGGCGGGCACCGCGCAGGGACCAGTGAACACGGCACATACAGCAGACACGGCAGATATGGCGGACACCGCGGATGCGGTGGACACGGCGAACACGGCGGACACGTTGGACATGGCGCACACTGGTGAATACGGTAGACACGGCGGACACCGCGCAGGGACCGGTGAACACGGTGGACACGGTGGACACGGCAGACACGACGCGGCGAGCAGGGCACAGCGGCGGAGAATACGGACACAGTCGTCTGAAGCACAGCACAGCAGCACGGAGGACACTGCATCGCACCTTGTCCTGAGCTATGTCCCCCTGTCTGGTGTGTCGTGTCCTCTTGTTCTTGTGCCAGATAACACAACACAGCCGCCAGATGACACATGACATAGGAGCACAGGCGCCCCCCCCCCCCCCCCCACCCCACCTCCTCCGGCCCCTGGACCAGACAACACGATACAGCAGCCAAAAGGCGAAACGGCTATTCATGGAAGTTTTGAGAATGTTCGGGACAGACATTGCGGATGCATGATGTGGGGAAGGCTTAGTTAGCGTCGTGCTATGCCCCCTGCTCATTCCGGCAGAGTTACCCTTGTCTTTGTTTATGACGCACGCTGGTGATAGTCGCTGACGGCCTTGATTCAGCTAACTCGTGGCTATCAGCCGACGTTAAGTGCGCCGAGACGCTCACCAGGATCGAATAACAAGACGAACTTCATGTCCGCCAGAGGTCCTGGTCTCTCCATTATTGAGTGCATATAATTTACGGCCGGCTGCCGCCCATACTTAGCCCTAATTGGGTCAGTTTAGTCTAAATAAGATGTTAATTGTACGTGGCAGAATTTACAGCTGCAAACACTCCCCGCGGAGAGAGAAGCGGGATCAGTTTTTAGCAGCGGCGGCGGCGGCATCAAAGTAAGCCCCGCGGCTTGGGCAGCCGTTCTGGGGTGGGCGCCGGCAGGGTTACCCACCCACGAGGATAACAAAGGCCCGTTGTCCAAGCCAATGGCGGGCGATCCGAGCCGGCGTTGCCGCAGGTCTGCAGCGTCGGTGACACCGTCGCATTGTCCAACACTCGCCAGACGGGGCAAGATCTGATTGCCGCTGCTGCACTGCCGCCCGCGGGATCCTGAGTCACGGTACGCAGCCGGCAGACCCAAACAACCCGGCGTCCTGGGGAACAAAGGCGAGCCTGGCTGGCCCCTGCAGCTGGCGAGATCACGGGAGTCCCGCATGACGTGCACCTCCGCTCCGCGTAGCCGGCACCGGCGCCGGTGCGACGGGTTTTCCACGGCGGCCGGCTGTAGGAACGCCGGGATCGTCCCGACGCGTCGACCTCTGCGCTGGGAGGGGTACTTCGACGATGGAGGAGAGAAGGAGGAGATGCCCGGCTGACTACAGTGGCGGGGCGGACTAAACAGCGGGCAGACTTCGGCAAGGCGTCAGCGGTGTTGGGCTCACAGCCCACTCCGTGCATGCACGTGCAGCGAAGCGTGTCAGGCAGCTCTCAACACGGCGAAGCGTGGTCACCAGAAACTAAACAGCCGACCAGCCGCGGCGACACGAGGACTAGAAGACGCCGGTAGTGGCATGCTATCCCTGCAAAAACTGCACCAGACGCTCTGATGCAAGAGACCGAAGGGGAGCGCGATTTATGGGATGGCGGTCGCGGCCTTCCACGGACACGATCTGAGTCGTTTTTTTACCGGGGCAAGTGCGTGGTCCCGCCCCTAAGTCGCCCAAGGCCTCGCATTAAGCCGTGATCGATCCCGGCTTACCGTGATGGATGAAGAAATGATCGTTCGTGGCCATTGAGCGCAAAAAGGCCTGAATGTGTCGTTGGACTCCGGTCCGGCGGACTGGAGATACATTGCCGCTGTAGGGCGCCGATCGAGCGCCGACAATGCGCCTCTCGGCGGAACCGGCGCTATTTGTCGGCGGCGATGTTTGAGGGCCACGGCGGCTTTTTCTCGTCCGTCCGAGGTTCATATATGTCCAGATTATGCTAATGACTGGCGGCTTTGGTCGGATCGCCGTCGCGGCGAACAGCGGCGGCGTCGACCAGCGTGGCCCTGGACCGTCGACTCTCACGGCCCTCCACGCCGGCTATGTTCCGAACCCGGCCAGGGCAGTCCGAGGACCCAAGTGTGTCCGTCCGGGCTCCACAGCCATGCGCTCCCGTCGCTGCTTCCACACGTCTCAGACCCGTCGACAGCGGCGGTGAGCTCACGTGTGCCCCGCGCCGCCCCGTGCTCCCTGCTTCTCCTGCCACGTCTAGAGCTGTGGGCCGCGCGGTCAGTGGCCGGAGACCCCACGTGCGTCCAGCGCCCTCTCGAGACGGTAAAAACGCAGCCCTGGCCGGCGTCCCGGCTCTCCCAGCTCGACGCAGCGTGTCCCGTGAAAAATGGACGCCGGCCGGCCCCGTTTCGGTGTAATTTATTCACCTGGGAACCGCCGAAGGCGACGCGACAGCCGCGGCACGGTCCGTCGGCGGCCGGCGCTCTGACAGGCGCTCAGGCAGCGTGTCGCCGATAGGGGAACGATGGCACCGGTTGGGGAGGAGGGGGACAAGGGGCGAGGTGCCTGAGTAGCTTAAGTGAGACCTGGCTCTGACTGCGGGAGCTGATGTGGGGCTCCGGCTCTGAGGGCGAGGCAGTGATGCGAGTCCGGCTCCAAGCCGAAAGTCAAGGAGGAGCCTGACTCAGCGGGCGGGAGTTCAGGTAAGAGCCCGGCCTCGCCGCGGGAGGGTGATGGCGCATGAGCTCTGGAAGATGTGGTGAGGGGATCCTGAGCTCTGGAAATTGTGGTAAGGGGATCCTGAGCTCTAGAAGATGTGGTGAGAGGATCCTGTGCTCTAGAGGATGTGGTGAGGGAGTCCTGCAGACAGTGGGGGCCGTGACCCTGTGAGTACCAGATAGAGGGAGTGACGCCTCAGTGGTTAGGACATGAACCGGACAAAGTCATGAAACGACCCTTCACATTACGCAAACAACATGCAGTCCGTGATTCAAATGTAGGCTGTATTTATAAAGGGACAGATGCAGAACAAGGACCGATACTGAGTGCAGAGGCCTCAAGCTCTTTCCATGCCCCTTATAAGTGCAGAAGTCAGTCTCTTCTTTTTTCTTCTTTTTTTTTCTTGCGCGAAGAACTCACCCCGATGATAATTATTTTGGTTTCCAAACAAGGCGCGGAAGTCCCGTGACTGCGGTTCACACGCCACGCGATGCCTGCCCGCCTTGTTTCCGGTCTCTTCCGGTTGCCCCCCGAGGCATGCGTGCAGATCTCCGCGATCTGTACGTTTGCGCTAACGGGCCGAAAAGTAACGGCATGCAGTTGAGGAAAGCCAGCTAATAGCTTTCCTAGTGAAACGAAAGCACGCGATATGATATCAAAATGGTACATAGGCCCCACTTAACCCAGATTTGTTGGTAAATCGTCGACTTAACCAAATTGCATGTAGTCATCAGTGCATTGTTGTCTTGACCGAGAGCTCAGTTTTGTCCGTGTGAATAAATTCATAGAACCAGGAACCACTACAGTTTAATGCGGCTTCTGCTCTCATCGGGGTCGGGAAATCCATCTCACGCAGGGGGATTTTCAGTAAACCACAGCGGATTGGAGCTTGTCGCATCCTTTTGCCACTAGTGGCCGCACCACGGATCTGGTTGCGAGATGACGACGTCGCGCCACGTCCGCCTCATCACACGTACTAGTGTTGAAAGCTGCACATTACAAAGATGTGTGTGCCCTGGCAACGACGCTTCAAAAACCAAAGTCTGGATCACGACTGAGTTAGGTAGCTTTCTAATTTGCATTGCATTGGCAGGCGCACCGATATTTTCCTTCTCTTTTAAATGTCTTTTAAAGAGCGGATGTATTCCAGTGGAACGCACCATAAACAGAACAGCGCCTACAGATGCCACACACCAATGCGGGTAGACTCTTAGGCACACGTACGCTCACGGCCGTGTTACTCATTAGAAACTGCCAGCTTTTTGTTGTGAGAGACGCCCCGAATTCGTCGCCGTGCACCTCAGCGCTAATCCGTAAATGAGTGTGTGTGTGTGTATGTGTGTGTGTGTGTGTGTGTGTGTGTGTGTGTGTGTGTGTGTGTGTGTGTGTGTGTGTGTGTGCGTGCGTGCGTGCGTGCGTGTGTGCGTGCGTGCGTGCGTGCGTGCGTGCGTGTGTGCGTGCGTGCGTGCGTGCGTGCGCGCGCGCGCGCGTGCGTGTGTGTTTGTGTGTGTGTGTGTGTGTGTGTGTGTGTGTGTGTGTGTGTGTGTGTGTGTGTGTGTGTGTGTGTGTGTGTGTGTGTGTGTGTGTGTGTGTGTGTGTGTGTGTGTGTGTGTGTGTGTCGTTGGGCAAATGGTAACGCCGTACGGTTGCAAGAAAATACCTGGCCATCCCATAACACATCTTCTTCTGATCTGTTCTGCATACAACAAGCAATGGGATGCAAAGGCTGGATGCTAATGTTCAACGCATGGATAAGTGGCTACGACAGTTTGTAATCGCAAAGCAAAGCTCAATGACAAGGCATACTGGTCATGCCCGGAATCCCGTATAACATATGATAGGACGCGTAAATGCCAGGATTTGAAGGGCATGGGCCCGGAGGGTCCAACTTTCTCTAAGGTGGCTAAATACCGCCTTACAGCGCCCGATGCGGGGCCGGCCAGCCAGACCGCTCACCTGTGCGGGATCCCGTCCTCGGCGAGCGTCCACCGGCTCCTTTTGCCTCGCTCCTCCGTCTCGCCCGCGCGCGGCACCTCACCGAACAGATCACCGCGTCGCGTGCCGCCGCGGCGCCACGCGGGTCCCTCCTCGCCACCCGAGCGTAGCACCGCCACTGGACCCCGTCTGGCTCCGTCCGCTGCACTCACCGCACGCCGCCACACCGTCTGCAGACGGAATGTCTGGGGCCGCCAGCACACGGCGGAGAACGGGCGACCGTCGGCCGGCGAGAGGTGCGCACGGGCGTCTCTGCGCCCGGCGTTAGAGGTGCGCACGGACGTCCCTGCGCCTGGCGTTAGAGGTGCGCACGGACTAGTTAGACGCCGAGCTTCAGCGCAACAGCTGCACCCAGTAGAGTGGGTGTTTATCTGCTGTCGCCGAACACAGGCGTGTGTTATTGATGAGGGATGAGTGCACACTGCGACTGTGAACTCCATTCACACTTTATCTCTCAAGCGAGCTCCTCAATAGTCGTGCGCCCGTGTCGCACTGGCAGGGCAAGGGACCATGCGGATGTGCTCCGGGAATGGTAGCTCGATTTGATCGGTCGTAAAATGTTTATGGGCTGGCCGGGAACACGTGGCTACGTCAGTTGAATCAAGACGTGTGTGATGAAATCGTCAATAGCCTCACAAGTATGCAGCTTCAAAAAACTGTTGAAAGGCGATACTGGAGATTCGGATGATAACATTATCATAAAAGTTGTTTTTATTTGTATTTTGACTGAAATTTAGACTGTTTTGGACATTCGTGACGCGGATGAAGTGTACGTGCATTAACATTGAAACACTATCTGGCATCGTCTTGGGAAACTAGCAATGCATGCATGCAGTTTAATTGCCACTTTTTGTTCTCACCCAAAGTGAAATATAGGAATACCTAAAGGCATATCAAAACACAATAAAGGTCATCGTCAATAATAAGCTTTCTTTTCTCGAGTATGATTTTATTTCATAAGTATGAAACGCACGTCTATGCGATCAGTCGCAAGACCAACAGATGAATTGTCATGGTACTGGTCATGTGACACCTGGTGGCAGTTGGCATCCATGCACTTGCATGACAAATAGCCACTGATTAGCTCAAGCCCTAGCCAAGCTATCTCAATGAAATACTTCATATGAAGTTGAAGCACTCCCGTGATTAAAAGCACAAGACGAACTGTGTTATGCCGGATTCCCTTCATTCTGCTGCTCACGTATGTGGCCGACTGACACATCAACGACACTCATTTTCGGGCACCAAGAGCGCGCAACGGGTGATGGTGCGACTACGTGACATAGAAAAACAGCATTCGTAGCGCACATCTCCAAAATAAGCGGCAGGTAACGCAAATGACCTACGGCGCTTATGCGTGACAAACGTTTTACCGCGCGCCCTGTGCGACTCCTCTGCTTCGCATGGTCTTCAGCCGCGTTCAGCTCTTCGGTCGCGCGCCATGTGACCGCCTATGGCCTGGTCTGGGGTCCCGTGTATTAGATGACGTCACACAACATGCGCACAGCTGTCGCCTTGTCGGCGTATTAACAATGAGAAAAACGTCTTATCGCGTCACTTTCTCGCGTCAGGTAAAAATGAGAGGAATGGAGCCATCGAGTGATTCCATGGTGTTCAGTGTAAATCGGAAAAAGAAAAACGCTGACTTAAGTAATGAAAACTTACATTAGCAGGTTGGCAATGTAGCAGAAGCAAGTACCTGTTACTGCAAATAGTAGTGGCAAATGCTGTTATAGTTTTTGCGTTTTGGGAGTTAGTTTTCACATTGCTACATCCCTCAAGTGGATCTCATTTGAAGGATAGTACTGTTCAGTAGTAAATTTGATAAGGTTATTAAGTTGAATTTCTGTAAGTTAACATACACGTTGCTGCGACATATGCCTTTTTAAGAGTTATAACATGAATGTGAAGCAGCATTGCTGCACAACTGATATAAATATAACGCTTTTTGCAGGTTTGGATGAGCGAGGTGATCAATTGATAATGGACGTGAATATTGTTAGCTTGCAAAGGATCTCAAAACGTAAGGGAATGGATTCCGTGCCGTTGGAGAACCATGGGGCTATATCAGTGCACCAGAATACCGTCTTTCATGTGTTTGGCAAGCAGATACGTGCTCATAAATGAATCAACAAATGACATTGTTTTACAGTTGGGGAAGTGCACGGTTTTCGTGCGACTGTGACAGAAGCATCGTGAGAACCACGAATATATTAAGACGATACTGGTCGCAGTACATCTGCCTATACGCCTATGCAGTTTTTACAATCCAGTTGTCATCGGCCTGGGTTGCATGTTGTAATTGCAACCGGTTTCAGAGAAGGCGGCATTTACCACTCTGCACCGAGCAGTTGGCTTCATGCCTTCACATGCTCTGGTTGCTAAGACCTATCATAGGTGTTATAAAACTTATGGCTTGTGTTATTCATCCATGGTGAATCCATGGTTCGCGTTCGAGACCACGCTATGCCGGCACATATCGACCCATATGTTTGCTACTATGCCAGTCCGCTTTTCCCTGTCAAATTATATATATATATATATATATATATATATATATATATATATATATTCCTTACGCATAATATTCGGGAGTGTAGTTCTTAGTATATACTCATTCACTTCTACTTCTTATTTGAAGTCACGACGCGTTTGAAAGCTAACAACGGTTGCATCGTCCCGTGAAAAACACACAGCGCACACCATGATAACTCAACACACACACACACACACACACACACACACACATATATATATATATATATATATATATATATATATATATATATATATATTTATTTATTTATTTACCGGTTTACGGCACTGCCGAATTTTGGTCTTCAACAATTTCGAATCAACCCTGTGTTGTCATAATGAATTACATTCTATATTTAACGTGGCATTTAGTTGTTGGTAATCGCTGCTAAGGACGAACATTAGATGCTAACCCTTCCAAAAGTGAACGACGCAGCTGCTTATTTCCATTTGCAGCCGAACAAAACAAATTCTGTTATAATGCATATTTTTGCATCTTGCTGGTCATCACCGTATATGCGACTGTGGTTCAATTACAATCCTTCAGAAATAGTAAGCACTGTCTCGCTATGACCATACCAACAATCGTTGAAAAACCAACGCAAAAAAGCAACAATCCAATTGCCTGGCGTGGCCTCTGGTCATATTCTGTTTGCTTATATGATGTGCTTCACCGGCATGTATTGGTTAACTGGAAGACACCGGTGACCCCTATCCGTAAGATTATAATGAATTCCTCCCCTATGGCTCTTAAGCGCGTGTCTGGCAGATCACATGCCTCTCACCGCTCAATAAGTCCGCGTCTGGCAGACCACATGCCTCCCGCCGCTCAATCGTGATCAGCTTTGATAGAAAAGACTGTCACTATTCACTTTAGTCAAACATCGGTGAGAGAATCAAGAACAACTCATACGGATTGAAGAGACCGTTACATTTCCTGACATTGCATGGTTTGGATGCCTTGCATGCATTCAAACCGTGCTCGGACCGCACGTGAACAATATTGGGTTTTTCAAACTCTGGATTTTGACAGCTTATGTGGCCTTGATTTTTGGAAATCACTAGGCTTCAGAACACTGGCTCTAGTATTTTGAGGCATAGCCTCCGAAAACATGGGAGACAGCATGACCCCGCAAGAAGCTCGGGGTATCTACCGATGATGTGGAATCAGGGGGTATCCAACATTTTGCAATTGGGGGACAACAAAAAACGTGTTTCTGAAAACTGCGTTCAAGCGTGCGGCGGGTACGTGGAATATCTTACATGGCGTTCAACAACGCTGAGTTTGTTCATCTATTTCTGTCACGTGCCTGCCTCAACTTTGTTTTTATTGACCAATGCACCTGAAGATGAATAGATGTAAAACCGCATCTTTGAACACGCCTTCATGCAACATTCAGGCGATATTGCAATCTTGTAGAAAAAGAAAACCTCGACAGTAGATGAGCAGGCTATATATATATATATATATATATATATATATATATATATGTGTGTGTGTGTGTGTGTGTGTGTGTGTGTATGTGTATGCATGGGAAACAAGTTTTTCTCGTACATGTAACAATTGTAAATAACCTCTCACTACTCGAAAATGTATGACAAAATGTGCCTGCATTGCCATCACATAACGTTTAGTTAAATCCATCAAGACCATCAGCGATGTACAACAGGCGCAAGAACGCGATATCATACATTCGACGGCGTCTCGGATTGGTAGCGAATGCATGTATATTTTCTGCTCGCTTTAAACCTGGTCCATTAAAATTTGTAAGATACGAGCAACATGAGGCAGGCCAAAGGCACTCACTTCTCTCTCACCGTCAGAGGACACGAACCCGACGACATCCAAATAAGGAAAACAAATCTACCCTGCAACGGACCCCCGTTCACCGCCTGCAAAAAAGCCGTTTGCAACAACATTCAAAATTTTATAAAAACTCTGTATGTGCTACATTTTAGAACAGAATCAAACTACAAAGGTCTCTTGAAAAATCCCGATGTGTCTGGCCTGATCATGGCCAGCAGCTTAACACAAGACGAATCTAATTTCAAGGCTAGCAATATTATGCGTGAGCTCCGATGCCCTTCCGGTGGCTGCATGCGCTGCAACAACTCACCCTATGTTGATCACACAACGACGTCATTTTCTCGCCGCGTCACCGTGCACCCGCAAAATGGTGTTTCTCAAAAGGCACCATAGGTTAACACATGGGTAACGGTTCACCCAGAACATGATGGTAGGTGACAACCCCCTCATAGCCAAATGCAATGATAAGAAAAAGCTCATGATAGGAACCATGCACATTAGAGACAGGTATCCCATCATTAACCGGCAAATGATGACATGAGGGTACCCTGTCTTTATGTGATGGAATAACCCTGGCACCCAGGGGTTAGAGCACGAATGAGCGATTCATTGTCACGCTCAGGAAATATTTGGCCGACGTACTTTAAGTGTGTAATCGTGCGTGTATGAAAATAGCTATATTCTTATGACATCGATCATCGGGCATTATGTTTCGTGCCTTTAGAGGCGCCTTCGTACCTAGCATGCCTTATCTTGCACACATTTTGGAAATTTGGATGTAGTGTATTTGAGGTCAGCATAAAACAAACATGAACTCGCCTTTCATCGGAGACGCTGTCGAATATATTACATTGTTTTATTTTGTCTGTGGTGTACATATGATGATGACAATGGACATAACGAAACGTTATACGATGACAACGTTTCGAATGATTCAAAAAGGTCTGTGCGAGGGTTTGAAGACCTTGGCAAGAACCAGAAAACTACACAATATACTGCCATCCTCATGGATGTATATATATATATATATATATATATGTTTATATATATATGTATGTATATACATGCATGTACATCATACATTTGTATATCTTTTTATTTGTTGTTGCGCTTTCAACAACACAAAATTAATTCGGACTTGGAATCAAGGTAGGAATCACAGCTATTAACTTTCGAATGACGGAAAAAGGATCACTGCGTCAGAAAAAATCGGTTTCAGAAGCAAATTAAACACTCACAGCTGGATTCAGGTCCGTTTGCTTTTATCTGGATTCGGAATAGATTCCGCACCAGTGGATGAAGCACCCGCCTGCTATCCAGAGACCGGACCCTTGCGGCTCGGTCTCTTCCTAAACGACGGACAGCTTTCCGTTTCGCGGCCACGCCACCTGTCCATTGATGCCTTGGTTGGACTGTCTGGTCGTGGTCGCCCGATGCCCCTTGTTTATTTTCGCTAATTTTAAATCACTTCCTGGAAATGTGATATGACCAGAGCACTACACAACTTACACGCTGTGTTAATGCGGCGTGCCGGATTAACGTGCCGGGATGCTCGTTAATTGTTTTGCAAAGCTAACGCAACAAAGTCGCAGTCACTCAAACCTGACATCACCCTGACACACATTTTACTATCTGGATCCCGTACTGCTCATGCCCTGAACTACACCATGGCTGTGTATGATAATCCTCTTCCTTACAGCTAGACGCCAACGTTCACAAATTTAATTTGAACTTTAACTGTATCGCCTATTTGATTACCCTTTGGTCTCCACTTTGGCCTCAATCTTGGCACTCGCGCATTGTGGTTTGTCATATGTATGGTTGTATCGCCAGTAAAAGTAAGAAGAACACCGACAGGACTAACAAAACTGTACTTTAGGCCGGCCAGTTTTGGACGAGCAGCTTTCTGGACCGCCGGCAGAGAACTGGGAGTGGTCCGTGCACTCAACTGCTCCCTTCTCATCCGTCTGAAAAACTGTAAAACCTATTTTGAGCAGCATGAAGACCACGAAGTAAAAATCAGGTCCCTTTAACCTCCTCGGTATCCGCTGTCACCTCGCTGCGGATACACTCGTATTGCCAGACGTTAACTAGCTTATTATTTTTTTTAAGAAAGAAAAAGCAACACACGCAAGCAGTATTCCGATTTCACGTTGAACCACGTCACGCCACGCCGATTCATTCGAACTATCGTGCTGTTTCAAGCGGATGATTCGAAATGGCGTAAGCTGACGGCGTATGCAAGGGTGTCATTTTGTGTGCTTGCGGGGGGCCTGAGCCTCCCCCTCCCCCCCCCCCCCCCTCACCCCAATACTGACTTAAACCCCTCAATGCTCTTCTGTGTCCCCCATGCATGAGCAAAAGAAGAAGAGATACTGGGCCAGCGAAATGCAGAAAGTGTCTGCACTGCTCGTACACTAGGCCCTAAACGCATCACTATCCATATCATCCTTATCATATATCATCAGTATGACTTTCACACCGGCTTCGAGTGGTAAGTCATTCTTTAACATGAAAATAACTGAAACCAACAAGATTTCTTTTAAATTTTAATGACACCGTGGACGCAAATCAACGTAACCGAAATCTGAAGAGATTTCAGTACCTGAGGGTAAGTTTGATCAACTTCATTGGCTCTGCCACCCCCTCCATTACCTCTGGACATACGCATGCGTTTATAAAATCACATTTGGAGGAGAAAGAAAGCTGGCGATATACGTGTAAACCACATTATGAGCCGATGAGATATTGGCATGTTTATCAGAACATCTCAGGAACAGAAAGGCGCTCCTTTTTAAGTCCCACCACCACGCCTATCTAGCGTGACTTACCTGCTGATGACGCATTGGGCCTGGTTATGGTTATGTTTCCTTTTATGACCGCCGGATATTTTAGTTTTAAGAAACTGGCAGGCTTGCACGACCGGAACACAGCATTTCTTCAATGCACGAATGCTTTGCAAGCTCGACTACATTTCCGAATCAATGCCCAGCCACCTCTAAGCTGATGCTGGTCGTCAACGGCAGCGGCAGGTTCGTCAAGCCCGGGCGCAGCGCGAATCGTGATGTCAGCGACAAGCAACACCGGTTCGCCACCATCAGCTGACGAAACCGGCCAGCTGTCAGAATGCGCCGCGGCTCATTGCACAGACGCGTCTGCAGCTCGGGACTCAAGGATCGTCTGTATTCATGAACTCACCTGGTAGTGTATGTCCATCGACCATTGTTCACTGATCATCGCCAACGGATAAGGGGCCTCGGAGACAGCGTCCTTTGCTATTGCTACCTGTTCTCCACCATTTTATGTCATTAAGGCACGAGGGCACACACCTCAAGCAACGCGCTCACAGCAACGCATAGCGCTTTAGAAAGCTCGTTATAGAAACCACAACGCCGATGACGGTTTGCGGTGCATGTGTTCGTACGGGTCTCGAGCCGTTCCGTGCGGGGCTCTAGCGTCCGCATGACGCAGCCGGTCTGGGGCGGCGGTGGTTCACGAGACGGGCCGGGCTCTGGGAGGAGCTCGGACGGTGCTGCCGCCCACGGTGGTCGCACACTCGTCTCAGCTGACGGAGCCAATTGGGTGGTGGCCGGGTGCGCAGCCGGGCGCGGATTGCCACTGCGCGCCAGCGATCATTTAACGGGCGGGGTCACAGGCTCATCATAGCGACAGAGGCCGCCCTTGCACGGCGGGCTTTGTTTTGATAATTCGCTCACGTCATCGCGCCGGCGGGATATCGCACTTCCTAGCGGGGGCCTGTCGACGGATGTTCGTGTTGTTGGCAATCAGCAAGCTGCATTACGTGTAAGAAGCGTCGGTAGATAGTCGTCTGGTGTCCGCCTTTTCTCCTCGGTCTCCGGAAAAGCCTGTGTGGTCCACATAGACACGTAAGTTGTGAATGACGCAGTTCTTCAGGAATGCGTTCATGCATTACATACGCTTCTTACTCGGAGGTCTTACAGTTCGCATTATTAAGCCCGTAATGCTATATCGTTAAATACCTCGTGTTTCATGCGCAGACAATGTGAACAGCTCACAAGGCATCATGCAACGTCGCTTACAATGGCACAAGCAACCAACGCGACGCGTGTGCGTATAACGAGAACCTCATCTCGGTAAAGAGCACATGCCGTGTATCTGATTTACAGCTTTATAACTCACGCAACTTTTATGTTCAATAGCGCTATAATCCCGCATGCAAGTTGTCAGGGGAAACATTGAAGACAGTTTGCTGGGACTCGACACCTGATTTTTCGTTGTCAAGCTGGCATGCATTCTGTCTGGGGAGTACCTTGGCGGAGAGATCCTCTACCCTGACTTGATTGGCGCGCACTTTTCGTGGATGGCTAGATGCTAGGTGCTAGGCATCGGAGGGATCGGATCTACAAAATTGTTTTCGGCTTAGCAGACTGGCAGCGGTGGCCTGATCTGCTGATCATCTGGGTCCTTCTCTTCTTCAGAAGTTTGTTTTCTAGAACAAAACATAGTTTTCCAGAGCGTCACGGCTATTTTGCAAGTTGTTGAAGTCGATAAAACCTTGGAAAGTTGTTGATCTTGATGTGAAATTCAGGGAAAGCAATCGTGAAATGGTGGTATTTCTAATAATGACAGTGTTTAGGGCATAACGTTATGATCGAAGACAGGGTCGAAGGTCACATTCCCTCAGCTATTTAGGATTTGGTTGAAATGAAATTCTCTTTTTGGGGAAAATATTTCTACTTGTTTCAAGAAAATATAAAGTAGTAGACCTGACTTATTTCGACAGGTAGACCCGATTTGTTTAGCATTTGTACGGACAGAGCCGTCGGGTCGGAGCAACGCCGACTCAGAGGGTCCGCTCTGCGTCACGCCCGGCGGCCGGAGGTGACAGTGACGCCGATCATATGGTAGGTCGATTTGCCGGGTTTCCGATGTCACGCTTCGGTCCATGTCTGTCACCGCGTCACGCAACTCCGACTCGGGCGAAGCGGGCAGGAAAGTCGCCGACAAAGCGGTCGTTCCTCGCACCAAAGCGGCCTTCAGCGGAGTTTTACCTATTGGTGGCGGCCTCTCCCTCCGCCCAAGTATCGACAAGCGGAGACCAATCCTTGTTCGACACTAGGCAGGATGCAGGATGCTCTTCAGAATTCCCGGACGTGGGTCATGGGGCGAGCATTGCACTGCGCAGTCTACCTGGTTAGTGACTGCATGGAATCCCCAGGGCAGCAGAATTGCCTTCGCTGGCAATGAACTAGATGCATCGTTGAACAACGCAGGCATTGATAATACCACTAGAACACAGATGACACCCTTCTCTCGAACACTGGCTATGTATGCGATGGAACGAATAAATCACAGTGAAACGGCGCAATCAAATCATGACAATTGCAAGCAGATGGAAGGCCTGCAGCTGGGTCCATCAACTACGACTGAAGTGACTCGCAGACAAACCCTCGCCTTTTCGCAGCTGTTGACAACCTACGGCAGAAAATCGAGAAGCCTTGTTTCAATTGTAAATTCCAGGAGCAATCTGCGGTTTGCCTGCATGGCGTGCAGCATACTGAAAAGCTTTGGTCACTGTGATATCGGTTCATCACATTTCCGGCGCGGTTTTTCCTAGCGGTGCTTGTGCAAACCCAGGCACTGCCTGAGAAAAGGCCTGAATACTGAAACTACCAATGCTCAGAAAAATCGTGACATCCATTAAGCGGGGCAATTTATCACGTGCATGAACAGACTGACGGCTCCGTTTAGATTTAAAATATTTTTCTTAATGCGTTTGACTTGTTAGAGCAATGAAACACAGGCTCAATGCTGCTGCACTTGGTACAGGGCCTGGGTTATGACATCCTGGGTGTTATGCACACCTGCAATGGTAGCAAATTTCTGGTGCTGTAAAGCCGTGATACGAGCTTGTAAAAAGATCTGTTAAATGTGATTTGTTAGTAACGCGCGCCGGAGCTTTCTCGCTGGCTTGTAACTGTATCCGTTATTTTCCCACATTTGACCATCTTGAGTTGGATTTTAGTGACCACACGACCGTTGTTACGTATAGCTCATGACAAGAAGTCTTTAGGGGTTGTTACGCTATTGGCCAGCGCAATGACCAGTGCAGACCACGTAACACCCTCCACTAACAGGTGCACTGTGTCAGGTGCACCCCTGCGTTGCTGCCAATTAGCTGCATAGCTGCATCATGAGGAAGGAAGGTATGATCCTTCAGTGATCACCCTCGATGAGCTGCTTTGCAACATTATTACGCCGCGTCATCACCGTCTCCGTACAGCTGCCCCTCTGTGAGCAGTGTTCCTTTCCAGTAGCTGCCCCCCCCCCCCCCACCAGCAGTGCTCTTTTCCACCAGCTGCTCCCCTTCGGGCAGTGCTCCTTTTCAGCAGCTGCCCCTCTTCTAGCAGTGCTCCTCTCCAACAGCTGCCCGTCTGCCAGCAGTACTTCTTTCCAGCAGCTGCCCTTCCGCGAGCAATGCTCCTTTCTAGCAGTTGCCCCTCTGCTAGCAGTGCTTCTTTCCAGCACCTGCCCCTCCGCTAGCAGCGCTCCTTCCGGCAGCTGCCCCCCCCCCCCCCCCCACACACACTAGCAATGCTCTTCCCCGGCAGCTGCTCCTCCCGGCATCTGCTTATCTCCGGCAGCTGCAGTGGCCCGTTCCACCTGTCAACTGGTGGCGCTTCCATCCCGGGGAGTCGTGCTGGGATCAGACTAATCTCGCCGGCAGCCTGCCGCGTGACGCTGAACTCGGGAGTGATTTGCCATCTCCGACAGTGGATCTGTCAGACGCGGAGCGCTCCTCGGAGAAACGAGTGGGTGATTCAGCAGCACGGAGACGGGCGCCGACGAGTCATGACCAAACGATCAGACATGAGCATCGGAGCGCCAACTTCGGCAAAAGCCGCTGCCGTCTAAGCCGAATGCCTCGTGACACTGTCGTAGCCCAATGCGCCTTTTCGTGGAAATTTGAAACAAGTGCTGCTGGATTTGCGGCCACGCGGTTGGAAGATTAAATCAGCGCCGAATCAACTATAACTTGCCTGAAAGACATTTTGAAACCACGGAATCATGTAGCCCCCAAATATTAGCGCTGGAGATGTTCGGAAGTAGGGCTGCACACACCGTCACAGCTCATGACTTACATTTTACTTTGTGCTGTGAGACCACTGAAAAGCTAATACAAATATTAAAATAAATCTATCTGGTAGAGCAGCTGTTGAATTAGGTGCTTGCTAGCAATGCATTACTCTCCAGGCACCAAAACACGACACACTGCACTCAACGGTTGGTTAGGAAGCACGTTCAGATCATTGCGTGTAAAGTCAAGCGAAAGTGTCTGTGTAGTCGGCTAACATGAGCGATACCTCCCATGTTCAGCCGACTGAACCTGCGCTGAGTTACCAGCCACTAATTAAATCCCGCCCCCCCCCCCCCCCATCATTGCGTAAATACCTCGGGCTCCCATCCCTCCCACGCGATCTTAAGGCCTAGTCACACCGCGGGAATTCCTAAATTATGATCATTAGGCGACATCTTTCTCCTGTTTTCTGATGGGTGGCCGTTTTAAAGAAAATCAGAAATTATGCAGGACCGGGGTTATGAAAGGGTGGCGCTGACAAAGGCCGTTTACAAGTGTTGGTCCGACGACTCAATTACGCTCGGGGTCGGCCAATTAAATCCGGCAAACAATGGGCGATATCCCCATAAAACAGCTCCTGAGCGCGGCCCTGGACCGTCCGCACGCCCTCACGTAGCCAGACATGCCCGGCTGGGGCATGGGTGTAATCTCAGCCCGCCTCCCCCACTGCCAGATGTCCGGTGCATACCTGGTGGACCACATAGCCTGATCTCACGTAAGGCCACGCTAGCACGACGTGACATCCAAGCCGGGCCTCAGCAACTGGGTTAGCGAGGTCCAGCGGCTGTAACGCCTGGCTTTGTCAGATACGACCGTATTAGTCCCAGGTCTACAAGCCGTGACTATCAATCATGACTTTGGAGGATAAGGTAGCACGACGATGATGATGGCTCGGCTCTGGTTTGCAGTCTGCACGCCGTCCGGTCTGATTGCTCTCGATGAACACAGTGGCAAACTTCAATGGCTTATGAATTCGAATTATGAGCCTGACTAAAGCATCTAGCTAGAGGCACCAGCCGGGGTGCATTCAACATGTCAATGGACACATTACTGTCAGATACCTACCAGCAGATGTTTCTACCACGTTTTGCAGTTGTCCGCCAAGTGAAATGCAATGCCACACTTGCTGCAGATACACACTGCGGAGTTTTTGCTTCCACTGCTGTTGATACAAATTGGTCGGTAAGGTCTCAGAAGCAAGATCCGGCAGGTTTACACTAGTTAACGATTAACTGTTAACGTTTGACAGTAGCCCGAGCTGTCTATCATTCTCCGCATCGTAAGCCGGATGGGTGAGCACGGACGTCATCGGTTCTCGTTAGCTCCTCGTTCTCGCATTCAAATTGGGTCTGGGTTTTACACCTGTTCAATCAAACATGGCTCGCATCCCACGAGCTGACGTTGCGCTTGAAGAGCAGCGACAGCGCAATTGGCGGGTGAAATGGAAACGTGTCGTCATGATATGTTGGTATTGATATTAAATAGGTCATCATACATGAACGAGATGCCTACTTATTTAGGTCAGTTGTCAGAGAAGACAACTAGTAAATACATGGTGATATGCAACAATAACTGCATGTATAAGACTTATGGTATCAGCATTTCATCACTCTCATGCACGAACCTAATGTCACTTCATTTTTGCACGAATTGAACCGATTCGGAATGGACAAATTTGTCTGAAATGAGCAAGTTATGATTGGCTTCAAGGTACCTTTAAAAAGTAAGCCAAATCAATTTTTTCATTCGGGTCTTTCCTTTTTCTTATTCTGATTCTGATCCTAAATTACGCAAAAAGTGAAGCAAGAATCCATTAAACTCCATTTCAAACAAAACATTTCAGTGTTGTAGCTTCCACACCCATTCCCATGGCTTGTAACGCGGCAAGAAGCTGCTCCTGGCTCTGCGTGCAGATATAGTCGCTCTAGCACCACGCAAAGCTGCATCCGTGCACCATCGCGCCGGTTTCTGCAACAATAAAGCAACCTTTAAACACAGATAAATAACAGCCATTCCTCAGCTACATAATCTCAAGGCGTTTAAACGTATCATGCATCATGCACAATTACGACACACACTCAAGCATAACTAAGATCTATAGACAAAGCAGGTAGTATCCTCCGTGGGCTCATGTGGTGCACTGCCGGTTGGTTTCGCGGGGAAAGCCTACATGAGGAAAAGAGCGGGGGTGAAAACGGCGCGGCAGAGGCAAGCAGAAAAGGATGATGAGATGAGTTTAGGGAACTAAATTGAAACTGTGTTTCCGGAGCCAACAAGTAGAAAGCATGAAATTACAAGCGCCAAACACATGCATAACTTCATAATTTTAGACATGTGCGCTCAGCAGCATAGATTTAAGCGTATGCGCGGGCAGTCTAGAAAAAAACAATGACACCCGGCGTTGCAGTCTCCAAACGCCGCTCGGCGTCGGCTTCGCAGTTAATATTCCGTGTTAGTCAACAGCCGGACGGAAACGACCACGCACCGGTGATGACTCTTTTGGACGCTTCGTGAAGCCAATTTGTGCCCGAGCTCAGAGTTATTTTGCTGAATTATCACCGTCACAGCTTCATGACATAATAACATAATATCTATTGATCGTGTTGCTGCAACTGTCATTTCGTTCAGAAAATTAACCTTGAAATTTGTCGGGTGAGGTTTTCTGGTCAGCAGATGATGACCCGTTTCATTCCAGCCTGGGGTCTCTGGGGCTGTCATTCTGGCGATACGGGACCAGGGCCCACTGGTTGATCTGTAAGCTCTTGTCCTGATCCCGTATCGCCATTCTGGCGATACGGGACCAAGGGCCCCTGGTCTGTAAGCTCTCGGAGTGATGAGTCATACACCACGCTGGTGTATTCCCTGATGTGGCATGCCTTCTGACCAGGGTATCTGACACGCGATCGACACAGGAGTCCTCACGGACGCAGGAGAATCCCTTGCTGGTACAGGGACAGGACCGTCGGCCCCATGGCCCTGCCACCTCCAGGGGGTGGCCATGGCTCCAAAATTTTCCATCCTGTGGCTACGTTTTGGTCTTACCCTATTCAATGAGATGCTCCATTCAAGTGGAAGTCCGCCTCGTCGCTGAACCAGATCAGGTTCAGAAACCCATAATCGGCTTCGCCTCCGCCTTCAACCTGATGACAAATGCCATCCGTTGTTGGATGTCGGTTTCTTCCAGGCTCTGGTGACTTAAGACGCGCTCGGGTGGGGTCAAATTGCGCCCCCCAAGGATTTTCCAGAATGGTTTCCGAACGGCGTGGCATAGCCGCGACAAACTTTGCATAGCTGTAGACAATTGAAGAGCGGATCGTCTGGCGCAAAAGCAGTTTCAAGGGAATCGTTCAATCCGATCAAACAACGGAGTGTTATACGAAGCCATGCATCTCTAAGATACTTTCTTAAGTAACATAACAATTGAATAAACAAATAGCATTGGCTTGGGGTCGGGTATGAAGGTCAGACCAAGGTCAAATCCAACCTGTTGTATTACTCTCGGGTTTGCTGTATGTACTTATTTCTGGAACTTATTTCGAATATATTGATAGCATGAACCACATTATAACCTTCCATGGACTTTTATAGGTCAGAATAGGCCACTGACCTAGAATGACTCATATCAACATTTTGCTTTTAGGAACATGCTGCCTAGCGTAATCTTTGTCGCTTATCCAAATGCAAAACTCAAAACAATCTCGTATAACTTCGGTCGCCATGGCCTTTAAAAGGTCAAACAAGGTCACTGACCTTAACTGAGCATGTGACATTTTGCTTAGAACAGTTGCCTGCGTTCTAGTGGCCCCTTAAAGGCCAATCTGGAATTTGACCTTGTTCGATTTTATCTGACCCTAAGATCATGACTTACGAACCTCAAAATTTGACCTAAGTGAGTTCACGTACAGGTCAACACACTTTGTGAATTTGATGTCTCTAGATCTGTTAGTTCCCGAGATCTCAGCGGAGGAGTTAAATTGATCAGCTCCACCCGAGCGAAGAGTATCCAGCCAGGCCACCCGGACGCGTGTTAAGTCATGGATGTGAAATGCGATTTATCTATTGCAGGTTAAAACACAAAAACGATAAACAAATAAAATATGCAAGCAAAAAGCGCTATAGAAAACACTAAGAGCAAAAGCCGGGATAGTCTAAGATACTTGACGAGCTGTGTATATAAAAACAAGACTACTCGGCTCTGAGATGTAGCGCTGGGCGGCGGCAGCCGGCTCCAGGGCGAAGCCGCGCGATCTGAAAATGACCGAAGAGATATTGAGACATTCCTATCGACAGCCGAACGGCGGACAGCCTCAGAACCCTGGCCACAACCGAGCGCGTATCACGACCGCTCACGCGCTGGCAGGCAGCGGCCGGAGCGCCGAACAAAGGTCGCAACACCGCACCGCAGGAGCGCAAGCATCACGCCGTGCCCTGAGAGCGCCGATGCGACGGATGACCAGATAAGCTACACCACGTCAGCCCAGCGCGTCCAGGACCGTTGAGACCGGTTTGCTCATGCGTGTTTTAGTGGCTAGCATGTTGCACGATAGATAGCCACTACAAAGCGCACTGTAGTGAGATCGTCTGTTCTTGTGGTGCATTTGGAATCAACTTACTTTTGAGCCCTATCCAAGTGCTTTTGTACACTTATTCGTGATTTACCCCATATGGCGTGATTCTTGACTCACTTATGCCTCTGAATCGAACTGCATTTCTGGTCATATGCGGTATGCGCATGCATATTCTGGGCCTCAGTCTCCGATTTAGCAAAACATCGTCATCTGCTCGGCTCCACACAGTGTATTTAAGCACAGTATCGATCCAACACAACACACACGTCATTATATTACTGAACAGGCCACACGGAATACGCGTGGATCCGAAGCCCCTGTGTTGTTTGGCTTCCGCACATTAGTGTGATATATGCATTGCACCACGATCTAGGCATCCTCATCGGCGGCCCAAGGGGTGAAGTCCCGCGGATTCCAGTCTTCGGCACGAGCAGTAAACCCCGCCAGTGCTTTGAATGGTTTCGAGAACACACCGTGTCGAATGGATTCTCCTAGAACGTCGAGGAAGCAGTCCATTATTTATGACCTGATCCATCTCAGAGTCATGCTCAAGACGGGTTCCTTACCACGAATAATCAGATTGCTAGGCCGAGAAACCAAGGCAAAACGTCAGCCGGACAAATGACTTCGACACTCCCGCGTGACGCAGAAACTCAACAAATAACAAAACATGGGATCTACCGATACACATTGCGTGACATGCGTGCATAATCATGCCGTCTCCTGATGCACTAACCTAGACTCCGATGTTCCGAGGCCTCGGTTAGCTCTTTCGGTATCCTGAGGCCGAACTCTTTGAACGATTTGTCTGTGAGTAGACCATCGTAGTCGAAGTCGGCGAAGTCTGCTGCTATCTCGTTGCTGTCGACAGAGCCATCAGACTCACCTAGCGTCCGACCACCGAAGCTATAGTTCTTTTCACCGCCGCCAGTCCGGCCATCTCGAACTGACTGCTCTCGCTGCGACCCTGGCACAAGGGCTACTAGAGATGTGGACCTCTCGGCATTGAACGACTTGTTTTTGTCATATTGCACGGTAGGGGTCGCCGCTGCCAGCGAACCTGACGACGCCAGAGGGGATGGCGTCGGCCACTGTCGGCGGCTCCATGCTGGACTCAGGTGGTGCCACTTGCTCGACGAGCGGCACCATCGGCCGAGTGGGCGGCGGACGGACAAAGGTGGTGCGCGAGAAGCCCGATGAGGAGCGCCCCGAGTCTGCAACGTCCTGCAGTAGAGCGGTAGGGGCGGTGCGCGGTCGAATGCGAGACTCAGAGGCCTCCAGTGCTCTGCCTTGGCGACGCCCGACCTCGAAGTCGAACGCCTTGTCACGAGCCTTCTCCAGTGCACGCCTTATGTACGTCGTCCTTGCATGAAATTCGCTCGTACCCTCTGTGGACCCCGCGACAGCTAGTCGCCGCGTAATCGGTTCCTCGTCGGTGAAGCTCCATCGCCGAATCTGAGCCCGGCTCAGTAACTCCTCGGCCGCCCGAGGACCGAACTTGAGCTCCTTCGTGGTCCTTCCCTGGTCGTGTTTGTTGCCGTAGGTGACGCGAATGATGAAGGGCTTGGTCTTGACGCCCTCTCCAAGCTTCTGCCGACTCGCTGGCGCCCTGAGCGTGGCCAGGAACGTCTCGCTGCTGCGCGGCTCGTAATGGCCGTCGTTGCCGCCAGGTAGCGTATAGTCCCTGCTTCTCTCGCTAGATGGCGGACGGCGCTGAGGGGGCCGTGACGCTGTGCGCCGGTTCGGGAGTCGGTACTGCTCCGTAGCGCTCGAGGCGGAGAAGGATGAGTACGACGAGCGGAGGTCGTTCCGTGCGGCCCTACGCTCGTCCGAGGGGCCTCGGTACAAGTCCACAGGACGAGATGCAAGCTGGTGGTACGAGGTGGACGACTCGCCGGACGAGCGGGGCGAGTCGCCGGATGAATGGCGCGAGTCGCCGGATGAAGTGGCGCGAGTCGCCGGATGAGTGGCGCGAGTCCCGGGGTGGCGGCGGGCGGTAGGACTTGGCAGGAGGCCGGTAGGAATTGGTGGGGGGCCGGTAGTCCGCGGCGTCAAAGTCTTCGTAGTCGTCGATCCAGTCGTCTTCGAACATGTAACCGGACATGTGGCGACCCTCCTGGGAATGTCATATGGATACATGTCGGTGCGATTACCTCAATATCTGAGAATCAGAGGCAGCCGATTCAGGAGTGGAGTTTGAAGCGTGGAGGCCAGGGATAAACAGCAAGAATTGTTTGGAAATCGAGGGGTCGGTTGTGAAGACAGCCCTCAAGTATATAACCACACTCCTAAGTTTAGCACGATCGAAAATGCAAGGCATGCAAGATCAATAGAAGCAATGCAAGCGCAAATTAAAACATTTGAATTCATTTGCTCTCGCAACAAGAAGCCACTTTCACTTCAAAACGCTGTCTAAGAGTTGCTAATCAGCAGTTTGCAATATAAACCACCCCGGTGGCGTAGTTGGTTGATGCCTCTGACAATATCGAGGCATCTGGTTTAAGCATGACTTCCGTAAACTTCTCCTCATGTCGGCATCCTTGGCCTCCTGACAGCAAGCGCGTGGTCAAAAGCGTCTCACAAGGGTGCCTCAATATGAAAATTGGGCCGTATGCAGCGTGTGTGTGTGTGCCCGTGCCATTAATTCAAGAATTCCTTGGGATTGAGCACCAAAGAACTTTGTGTTTGCAAGTCAGTTTGCAAGATTCATTAGAGCATACCATCGGTGGTGTTGGGCCTACCCCGGTTACAGAAGACATGGGACAATACATCGTGCTGCCTCACCCTGAACGTCGAGCTGGGCAGCGGCAGATCCTCAGAACACTCGGTGTTGAACCACCAGTCACAGGTGGCTAACGACTGACTGAACACCGTGCCGTTCTGTAACACAAGAACACGTCCAATGCCGCAGTACAGGCTGCTGCAGTCCCTGTATGGGGAAAAAGACAAGGAGATATCTTGCTGCAAGCGTGGTGGGGGTTACATTGAAAAGTCGAAAAGTCCTCGATTTCAAAGCAGTGTAATTAAGCAAGAGCCCGTTTTTACACTCATCAAGCTTTCGCCGTCACAATGATGTCTTTTCTCCAAGAGAAGTGAGCATAGGCAAAAAAACACTAAGCTAAACACCTAGCTAAACGCACCAAGCACGCAACCACTGCATTACTATTGATCTTGAACAGCTGCGTGCAGAATGCCCACTGCGAGGTTTTCGGCGCGCCATCCCCCCTCCCACTCTTTCTTAGCCCTCATCTCTCCACCCCACTTCTTCTAACCATCACCCCACGGGCCCACCAAGAAAACGCGCTAGGCCCTCACCAGACCCCGCGACGCGCCAAACGGTGACAGACTGCACTGTCGCTTACTTCTGCGTGGCGTCTCTGACTCACCATACTTTTTATCAAATATTGCCACGATTTTCTATTTTCGTCGATGTGCATGAGCATTCCACATCACTGCTTCACCGTATCACAAGGAAAAGAAGCATTGCGCGTCAAAAGCTGATTTTCCTGTTTCCAAATGATTTTACTTCTTGGAATTCGTAGGTCGGCTGGCGGATAGTTACTTACTTTTGTTTTTTTGTTTTGTTTGTCACTGTCGTTTATTTATTGGATCTCCCGTATCCAGTGTACATAGACCAAATTATTGGTTTAGAACGCGGCCTAGAATACCAATAAACAACGATAACAATAATTCCTTGTTTTAATAGTTGCATTATCTGATGTACTGCCCGCGGATCCGTACCACAACCCAGGATTACCGATTCTTACTAAGCCAACTTAATTGGCAGCCTAAACTGTTCTTTGCGTTGGTTTAACGTTTAAGCAAAATTGGCTTGATATTTACACCTTCGGGAATAAGTATTAAAAATCCACTTTGGAACATGCGGGACACAACGAGCTCCCTGGGACACATATGGTGAACAGACATTAGATGCATGCTTGTTGGAATATACTTGTTTATGATGCAGTAACGTAAGAACTGCAGCTAAGTTAAGATCATGCACAAATACATAATTTGACACATTTTCCTGCCAGTGGCATGGGCCAACGCAGTGAGAATCTATTTAGAAACCGTTACCAACGGTATCCAAATATTCAAGGAAAAACTAAATATAAATAAAAGCCAGAGTATCCAGAGAGAAACTGGCTACAGAACGTAGCTGCACATGATTGCATATCGTAACAGTGATGACTTTTGATAAGCTACTACGAGCCATGTTACGCCTGTGAGCCGTAATTTCTGTCTTGTGTGGAGGATTCAGCTTTCACCTGGGACTCTGCCGCAGCAGTTCTTTCCAAGTCGCTGGTGTAGCACTCACGAGACTTCGGGCCGCCAAAACGTGGAATCTCATAGCAGGATGTTTTCGTTTGATCTGCGTGATACTCATTGAATCTCTCTCCCACCCCCGACAAGCCTGTAGACCACATTTCTCTCCAATGAATTTGTAGGCCACCTGAGAGTGCACTGAGGTTTTGGTAATGTTGCATTATCTAGATGATGATTATTTAATTTATTGATATTTCCCTTAAGAGAAAACAGAAAGGCGAGTGGTCATTTTTTAGAGCCGTATCAGCTTAACATACACCTTAATTCACCATGTTCATTCTAATGAAAGCTATTGAAATTATATCCTATTATAATCTAATGACATCTAGGGGCATAAAAACATCTTCCATGAGGAATGAACATGATGTATATCAAACATGTGAGATGTGACGGTGGTGAGGTGAGGAGTATGAAACATGTGAGGTGTGACGCTAGCACAGTTCTACTACGGAAAGCATGAAAATAATGCACTGATAATAGTTGCGGAACAATAGTCATGTTTTAGTTGTTTTATAAAAAACGAATTCCGAGTCATAACTCACTTACAAACACAACTCGGAAGCGTGTCTTTTCTAGTCCGAATCTAAATGATTCTGACCTCCGTGACGCTTAAGATGATCTTTGAACGAGTGGAAACAATGAAGCAAACTTGATCACCAACCCTGTTCATTAGTGGTTATTATGCAGAGATAAGGAGAAACTACATGATTGCAGATTGGTAGATGTCTTTTGAAAACAGATGGCCTTAGAAATTGACCGTTGAGTTGCAGCGCTCACACTGTGGTCATGCAGAGCCCATGGTCTCATGATTTATTGCGTTCTTGCCGTCTCTTTTTTCCTCCTGAATCCCAACAACCAAAGCCGTCGCCATAGCCAACCACACATTTACAGCGCCTGCCAGCCTTCAAACCGGTGAAGAGGGTGAGCCGCCGCGGCACGCGCTGGCGCCCTCCAAATGCGGCGTCCACTCACCGGGCAGAGGAAGGAGCTCATCCGGAACGGTCCGTGGCACACGTGGTACACCTGGGCGGAGGGGAGAGGCCGCAACGTCAGTCGCCGTCACGGTGTGCGTCACGGCTTATTCCATCAGCCATTCGGCACGGCTGTCTCGCGCGCACAATGAAGACACACCATGGTTTGATTGCGCTGCGGAGTACCGGTGGGTTTGCTGGATTGCGCATCGGTCGCGCATCGGGGCTGTTTGTGCTCCGCTGGCATGTGCCTGCCCCATGGAGAGCGAGTGCGAGTGCCGAGGGGAGGAATGCGGAATACCAGAAACTGTGTAAATCAATAATAATGGGGAGAGCTTGTGAACAACCGTTAGCCGTTTAATCACGCTCCTCGCCACAGCAATTAATATCGGAGGACCTTGACATTGTTTTTCTGCCCCCGACCGTGCTACGGTGCGTATCTCAAAGGGCTATCCGCCACCACCTAAAAGAGGGAGGGAGGCAGGGAGGAAGGGAGAATGGGGAGAAGGGAGATGAGGAGATATAAAAAGAGAAAGAAGGAAAAAGATAGGAGCAGAGGAGAAAGAGAAACCCAGAGCTACCTTCCGATGCAAAACACATGGTCGCGAGCGAGACAGTTAGAGGCGACCAGCTGACCTGACACCTGGTGGCCACGTCCGTGAAGTACCCCTCGGGCCGGCCGGCGCACGAGAACGAGGTCAGCGGAATATTCCCGAGCACCGGGTAATCCTCGCCGGGCAGGCCTGTGGCGAGGGCAGCGCCGTCAGTCGAGCCGAACCGGGCATCTGTTCAAACGGCAGCTGTGAACCGGGCATCTATTCAAACGGCAGCTGTGAACTGGGCATCTGTTCAAACGGCAGCCGTGAACCGGACATCTGTTCAAACGGCGGCTGTGAACTGGGCATTTGTTCAAACGGCAGCTGTGAACCGGGCGTCTGTTCAAACGGCAGCTGTGAACCACATGCCGCAGATTGGATGACCACATGGGAACATTAGCACTCGTCAGCATCTAGCAGCACGGCTTGGTTTTAGCAAAACATATTTGTCTAAGTTATACCGAGGCCACCGTGCATCGATGAGTGACCAAGTCAAAGGCAAGCGATGTAGATAAGAAAGACGTTTGCAATTTTATGGCCCGAACCGAGAGTTTCTTCGACATTCGGTATTCCACTAAGAATAATCGGCGTCACGCAACTAAGTGCAATTCTAGTTGTAATCATATCTCGGAGTTTGCATTGTCTACATGGCATACAAATATGTTGCAGGCGTAACAAAGTATACGTGTTCAACAGCAGCTAGGTGTCAGAAGAACGGCCAAAACAAACAAGGGCTTGGGAAAAGACGGGAACGCACAAGAATGTCCAACAATGCCCGTCCCGGTGGCTCAATTGTTTACAGCGCCTGCCTTCCGATCCACCCACCCGTAGCAGAATGGGTTCGAGTCGCTTTAGGGCTCTCGCTATTTGTCCTTGACAGGTATGGCCTGTGGTCGGTAGTAGCGGTCGCCCTAAAGCGACCGCTACTACAGTCAGAGGGCAGGACAGACCGTGTCGAACATTGCGGCACGTTAAGCTTTCGCCATTGAATTCTGCCGTTGCCTGATATTGCGCGATAGGATGGTGGGGTCAGGGCTCACACAAGCACTGCTTAGCGTCAGCGCTGATCCCAGAAATCCATCCATTGAAAGGGTTCGGATCAAATTAATAAAAAAAGAACTGCATTCTTGGGGCGCGCGAGAATGCGGCGAAAGCAGCACGACTGGGCGCTGGCTGCTTTCCTGGAGGTACAATTTATCAGACCTACAAATGGTGCCCATGCGTGCAGACGTTTGTCTGTATGTAAGGCACAGGGGGAGGGAAAAGCAAGTCATCAATCATGCCCACGCCTGGGCTATATGGCCAACACGTCATGACGTCATCGCGCCACGCACCCACAACCGCGTCATATTTCTTCCATAGTAGGCCAATCTCGCGAGCGAAGCGCGCTGACAATGCCGCTCTGTTGATTAATTAGCGACAATCGCACTATAAAGTGACCATTGTGTTCAGCAGCGAGCATTAGAAGGCAACGAAGCCCGCGCACAAAGGACCGCCGTTCCGCCCGCCTCCGCCCCCGCCCCGAGGGCATGTGACCTGCGGCACTAGCGACGTGACGTCATTATTACCCAGCGGTCACCCGATGGTCTGCCTCCGGCGACGGTGGTCTTTTGATAGTGTTTGTAGCGCCCGGTCGCGTGTACGAATGTCTCTTTGACCGCGATTGGGCGACCACATGGTCCGCATTGTTCCAGCCGCGTCATAAATCACCCATCGGGCCGGCCCGGCCAGTGAACGGATCGCCAGGAAGGCGGGACCGCCACCTGGGAGGTGGCGGACATTTCAAAGGCTGAGAGAGGGTGTCGGGTGTCACGTGGACAGCTAGAGGACGGTTCGGCCTCAGGGGCGTGAGTGGGGCGGTCCTAATTGCGCCCTTGTCACACATCATGGACGTTTGCCACCTAGCCGGCCCGAAACATGACTGATTGTTCGAGGCGGACGGAATACCCGGGCAATTTTTAACCTCAGCAGTGTCTCGTCGTCCCCACGCTTTGAGGTGGTGCATGGGGAAACAATACAGCCCATTGAAACATCCTCGAACTTCAGCATTCAAGCTTTAGACACCGTCGTGTTACGTTTTATCCACTACCTGTTTTCAAAATGGCTTGTAAGATACTCAAAGGAAAATGAGTTAAGAATCGATCATAATTGTGTTTAACACAAGCAAGCAATGCGCATACAATCTCTGCAAGTATAAGAGCAATGATGGGCAGGCAGCGTATCGGGGATCTGGTTAAATTAACATTAGGCTACAGCCCTGTCGCACTATAGCTCACCACCACAGAGATGTACCCAATTGCTCATCACACAAGACGTCGTTGTTTCAGCTTGATAGCTCGTCAGCATTCGTGGAGCCCACTGACACACCTGTGCTGGCGCCCCTCCAGGTGAGCGCCACTCTTGCACTGCACCCACTGACCTGGCACAACGTCCCGGAGCCAATCGAGTCCGCCGTGCTCGTGGAGCTCCTCCTGACCGTGCTCCCCGCCGTAGCCGGAGGCGGCGGGCCCGACCACCGGCGTGCTGTACCCCTGCTTGGGGGGTCGGTACGTAGTCACACGCGGTGCAGCTGGCCTGGGCGTCGCGTACGAGCCCGGCGAGGCCCCGCGCGAGGGCGAGGACGACTCGTAGCGGCTCGTCGGCGGCGTGTACCACGAGTGCGGCACCGGCGCGGCGCTGGCAGCCGATGTTCTGTACTTCAAGACCGAGGAGTGGAAGCTGTCCGATGGGGACTGATACTCGGAGGACGGGCCATCGAATACGCCGAACGGTGAGCTGTAGCTGGACGCGGGTCGGTCGAGGCCCCTCGCCGGCGGACGATAGCTGGACGACGGGCGGGCGGGCTCCCGGGACGGGGGTCCGTAGCTGCTCGATGGCCTGTCCAGGTCGTTCAACGTCGTCCTGTAGACGGACTGCGAGCGCCCCGTAGGCGCATCGTACTTTGAGGACGGACGTTCCCTTCTCGCCAGGCGCCGGTACCCGCTGCCGTCCGCCCCCAGTGTCGAGTGCGAGCGTCGCGCGGCTTGCTGGCCGTCCGCCCGCCGCTGGTCGTGCCCAGTGGTGGCGTCCTGGCGCCGGGCGGTGAGCTGCGCCAGCAGGCGAGCGGCGCGCGGCCGGCGGCGTCTGCGCCAGGATTTGGCGCCAGGCGTCCGGGCTGGCACTGGCCAACTGCAGCAGCTGGTCGGCGGCTATCGGGATCGAAATCTGCAGCTGCACCGCCTCCTGGGGACGCGGAGCAAAGCAGGAGGAGCACCTGTCAGCGGGCGGCGGCTCGCGACGGTCATCAGCTTTAAGCGTCTCCCCGGCAACAAGCAAACCGATATGATACATGCAAGACAGCTGGTATTAGTTTAAGTTGTCCTCACTGCGTAGAATAACGAACTGGCCCATGTAGGTACAGGCACAGGCGTGGACACAGACAGGGGTATTCATATTTGTATTTGTGTAAGACGTGCACTACGTATTTGTTTCCCATTGACCTACAAGAGTTTCAAGTCCTTGTACTCACGGTGTCTCGGTGCAGAAACCAAAATACCCTGACAGAAATACCACATGAGTCCGATGTAAGTGTCCGGCATGTGTGTCACCCCTCTACTCCAGGGGTCCCCAGTTACACCGCACAACAATCGTCTCCGAGCTCGTCCATTCACGAGGTTTTCCGCGCCCTCGGCGGCATCCGCAGCACATCTGTCGCCGACCATACGGTGGCTGGAAAGCCGGCCGATGTTCGCGGGTCAGCCGGACTCCACTCACCGCTGACGGACGGTCAGCCGGACCGACCCCGGCCGGGTCATGGCCCAGAATGTCCCCTGAGGCAAGGCCGAACAGTGCTGCAAGCGGCCACGGCGCAGGTTAGAGTCACCAGGGAACGGGCACTGTAACGAGCTGTGCAAGAGGGGTTCATCGGTGTCTGAAATGCGGAATCCATTTGTTATGTGTCACAAAATATGTGTAAGATGGTAAACCTGAACTCGCCCTCACCGCAGTAATACATGAGTTTATACATCTAAAATCTGTAGTGTACAACAATCAACACATGAAGGCTAGACAGGCAAATTCTGGAATTTAGAGACACGCCATTAATGCACTAAGAGGCGAAGCTATATACGAAGTTGCCTTTTGGCAATATAAAAGATTCCATGCACGCAATAATGGTTTATTAACAGTTCATGCGGTGCGAAAAGAAAACAGAACAGATTAGAAAGATTTCACCAAGGGGCCTTATCTCACATTTTTGCTTCTTGAAAATGCACCCAGCAGCGTTTTTGGCACAATACTTTGACCTCTTCACACTTGAGGCAGCTTTCCCAGTGCCAATATTCTGGCCTGCGTCCGATCTAGAGTAAGAGCCGCCAGGTGACGGCGCACCATCCATCCTGGCCAGCCACTGTATTCGGCCAGGCTTCATTGGCTGCTGCGATAGCCTGCCTACCCGATACTCCCTGCCATCTGATGCTTCTCCCCGAAGATTGATCTGGTCTTTCAATAGCATCGCTCCGGCGTTGGCCGCCATCAAACATGCACATCACGCTTTCTTATTAGATGACCCGCTTGAGCAGCGCTCACCCGCCCGAAAAATTGGAACACGACGAATGTCGGGCCACCTGCCTCGGGACCGACTGACCCGCTGGGCGGTCAGAACACCACTAAAAGGGTGTCGTGCCAGTGATCACGCTCCGGTACTAATGAGCGAACTCTTGTGACATGATCGGCCTGATCACGGACAGTCATGGTCCGGGCAGATGGCACTGGCATGCGGTCACGGACTCGTTCTCATCACAGCGCCCGTGAACTGAGCGGCGTACATCCGTGCCCGCGACACGCACACGTCATGCTGGTATAAATAAGTTCAGGATCAACTGGCAGCAGCAAGCGATGGCAGCGCGTTGGATCCTTTGATAAGATTTGCTATTCATGAGATTGCCACGTCTCCTAAAGGCCACGGCTAGATGCTTAATCTCATTAATGGTTGCTGGCCTGCATATCGTGGAGTGGTTGGTAGCTCTTATGAAAACCGGGGGGCAGCCGACATTTCGCCGATAAACCCACTTTTGTGATGAAGACGAATTATGGCCCTCTTCAGCCCTAAGCCTTGGTCATATCGTACCAACACCATACCATCACCCGTCACCCCAAATGACATAAAGGCCAACAACCATCCATCAGAAATTTAAGACTGTCCTACTCCGTCTTCTAGCGAGCTCTTTGAGAACCCAGTCTTGTGCGTGGTAGCTTAAAAACGCCCACAGATCAGTTTCGTTCCTATCAGTTCTGCGTTCCATAAGCAAGAAGCTTGTTGCGTTGTACTCAGTTGTACTCAGATGTACTGCGTTGTACGAGAAATAAAGTTAATACAATGGAAATGTTGTATGATCCAGAACAACTCAACAGTATGACATCCAACTTTTTACTGCTATGTGCGTGCAGATCTGGAGGGTCAGAACATAAACCAACTACACAGCTGCAGATACGTCATTGAAACTACAAACAGCGACAAACGCTGGCTGTCTCACCGTGCCAGCCGAGGACGAGCAGGAGCAGCGTGACACCGTACATCCTGAGTCCGCGTCACATCCCCGTCGCCACCGTCACTCGTATCACACCACCACCGCTGCTGACGCTCCCCGCTGGTCTCGCCTGCTCCGCGTCCCGTCGGCGCACCCTTGATGACTCTGTCGCGTCTCCGTACCGTCTCCGCGGCCTCTGGCCGGACCACCCAGCTCGGCCGCTCGACGGTGTCTGAGCGGTGCCCCCGGCAACGCTAGCCCGTCGAATCTGGGCTGCCGCGCGCCGCGCCGCTCGCCACCGCGGCGACAACTGCGCCGGGCGCCGCTATTGTCGCCGGTGAAAATGCGCATCGTGAGAAGCGAAGGGGCCCGACGCGGCCGATCGCCGGCGAAACGGACAGTGTGAGGCGATTGTGCCGCTCAAACCACGTGCAAACAGCAGCGACAGCCGGCCGAGCGGTCATTACGGACCCGGTGAAAATGGCGCGCTGTGGTCGAGGAAGATGTTACTTTCCGCGCGTGTCGGCAGATGCGATGGGTGAGGATGGCCGCGGAGTCACCGAGCGCGTCGGAGGGTTGGGGTGTGAGGATTGTGCGGAACGGGTGTCATTGCGGTATGGGCATGCATGTGAGCGTGCCTCCTTTCGCAGAACATTTATTTCGAAGTCTGCGATCCGTGCGAAAGTGCAAATACAAATTTGCGTGCATTGCAAAGACTGGGTTTTGGGTGCCGCGGTACCGGCAGCCGGTGCCGATTCAGTACGGGCACCACCTGGGCCGACAGTGTCAGGACGTTTTCTATGCTGGAACATGTCAACCCGGAGCGAACACACTGAAGACCCTTTCCAGTGCCCATACCAGTCAAATCTTACTGTCACTGGGGGCCCAGTACCTATGCATCCAGACCAACGCTCGTCCTAAGTATGTCTACTTCAGCACGGGCACAGAAATGACATGAGAAAATCACATCTGCCTTTGGTGCGGTGCTCGTGCAGGATGTTGGTCATTCTAAGAAGCTTGCAGTTTGGTCCATCGAAGAAAGCGGAGCGGCTGTTCATGTAGGCGTTGATACTTCCCAAATACGCCTATGTAAGACGTCATTCATAACGATTGAGTACGGCACACTACGGGAAGCACTGCATTTTAAAGCGAGCACAGCAGGCAGGCTGAAACGTCACGCAGTGTAACGTGAGCACTGCCAGAGCTGAGGTCTACGACCACAGTTGACATGCTCAACTGACAAGGTGTGATCGCGTGGAGAATCCTGTCAGGCACTAACAGCACTTACGGTGCTTCAAAGCCGCTTAACCGCGCGGCACCCAGGCGGCCGACGACGACCTACGATAGCTGCCTTAACATGGTAAAACTGCCTGTGAGTTATGGCAGCTGGCAGTAGCCTAATGCAGTAGTCATTGCTCCCCTACCAGCGACCTGATGCACCTCTCAGTGACCTGCCGCAGTGACAAGTAGTCTGTTACGGCCGCCATTGATTGGCGCAGTGACCAGTGGTCTGTTAGAACCACCAGTGGCAGGCACCAGTGACCAGTGGTCTGTTAAAGCCGCCAGTGACCGGCCACAATGACCACTGGTCAGTTATAGCCGCCAGTGACCGGCTGCAGTGACCAGTGATCCGTGGCAGTTGCCATTGACCTGTGCAAAGGTGACCAGTGGGCTATAACAGTCTCCAGTGATCGGCCGTAGTGGCCAGTGGGCTGTAGCAGCCTCCAGTGATCGGCCGTAGTGACCAGTGGGCTGCAGCAGCCGTCAGTGACCTGTGCAGCAGTGACCAGTAGGCTACAGCAACCGCCAGTGATTGGTTGCATTGACCAGTGACCTGTTTTAATTGTTAGCCACACCCATCTGGAGCCTGCCGCAGCCGTCGGTAATCTCCTGCCTCCGTGGGTGACCTGATACAACTGCCGGTGAATTGGAGAAGCTCCCAGCGGCCTGTTGCATCTGCTACCGGGTAGCTGCAACAGGTCGCGTCATGAAAGTCAAAAGTTGCACATCAACATGTACACCTGACAGGGACAGGCAGAGCCGCCCACTACCAGCTGCGGGGCTGCCCGTCAAATTCATTATCATGACATTCCAGATTCAAGCCTCAAGTCAAATATCAACGCTGTTAGTATGTAAAAAGAGTATTTAAAAACTAAAAAGCATGCAAAAGTCTGGTTAACTGTAACCAGCGACTTCCAGGATGTAATGCAAGCTGAATTGTTGTGACAAATCAGAGTTGCATATGAATATTTGATAATGATGGCCCAGCCAGTGCCCTCACCTGTGTGAAGATAGCCACAGAATTCTCACCCATAATTATATTACTGAAAGACCTGGCTGACTGCTGCAGGGTTTCACGCAGCACATGGCACGAAATCATGGTGTGAACTACATAATGCGGAAATGAAAACATATTAGTCCCTGCATTGGTCTCCTGGTACGGAAAACAACCTTTAGGCTCTCACGTGACTTGGCGCTGGTTAGAAAAATGAAGTTCACACATGCATGTGATGTTTGTTACATCTTCTAACACCCGAATATTTTGATTAAAGCCTAGGCTAGAACGTGAAACCAGAACATGCTAGTGTAAGCATAATCAATCTTGTCGCTTTCGCACACATTCCGATTGGTCACACCATTATGCTTAAATATCGAGCATACAATATACATTATAGTTACAAATCAAGCACAAATATAGTTTCAAAACATGAATATCAAGCCATCAAGCATAACTATGAAGATATCTAGCAATAATATCAAACTATCAAGCATAAATATCAAGCTATGAAACATAGATAGCAAGGTGTCAGGCATAAATATGCCTGTACTTTTTTTAAAAAAATTCCAGCTGAGCGTGGCGCTGATGGCGTGCTAAGGGTGCTTGGAGGCAGAGAATTGACCATTTGGGATTCTTTGACGCGGGCTGGAGGACACGGGCTGTCTGGGTGACGTCACTGATGCCGGTGCAGCTTCATTGTACAGGGCTCTGGTATGACTGTCCCATTATTATCAGTTGCGCGTTGTTTTGAGTTGTGCGCTGTTTTAAGTTAAGTGGTGTCGACGCGGTGCAATATTTTATGCTATGGCGAAAGTAATGGATACTGTAACATCCATGTCGTAACGTCGAACAAGGGATGAGGACATAAATGAAGGACTTCTAGATGTAGCCAAAAACTTTTAGACTTTATTTAACTTTTTGCATTGTACATAAGCACCGTTCCTATGTGAGATTTATTGCAGTATAATCAACAACCGTGGGAGCCAATTATCACCGAATTTACCACTTGCATATGTACACTAAATGCATCAGCAGACTACAACCGTTGATTAACACACCGCAACGTTTAAAAAACAGCGCAATGTTATAAAACCGCTGTGCAGAAACGACTTCGGTGCTGCGGGGTAGAAAGCCGTCACCCAACGCCTTTGTGCAAATGGTGAAAGCACGTGTGACATCCGTCGTGCACTATAGCCAGCATTTACACGGACGGTAAAGTTAGACTAGCGGTGTGTTAGTAGTGAGGCAGGTGGACTGATCATTAAAGCCATGCATGTTCGGGACGTACTCGGACGTCAATGGCGGAAAAGAATAGTTTTTGCTTCGAACAGAGGCACTAATCGAAATGATAATGAGCATCGGTGTACTGTGCCACATCACATGAATAGTCAAGTAAATAATATTACTATCGAATCTCATCATATGAATTCCAACTTTTTATGAAGTTTTTCCCTGCAGTTGAAAATACATGTCGATGTTGGCTTCACGAATGCCGTCTCTCGATAACTGTACTGTTTTATGCATCATTTTGAAAGAAAGCAAGAGCGTTACGCCACATTTCCATTTCGACAGCACAACATGAGAAGAGCATTGAACACTGACACGATTTATCACCTCAAAAGTGTTCAAGCAGCGGCCAAGTGCGCGCCACCAGAACTGGTCGGATCCTTGTCGACCACGCCGCACCACAGACAAAAGACGAAATTGTCAAATGACATAAACATGAAGCAAACCTGGCTGATAGGATATAAGCATATTACAAGAGCGTCGGTTGCCTTTGGATCGTACCCGACACAGTTTATTCACCAGTCACATCTGTTGAGAGAGTGCACTGGACGACGTGTACCCCGAGGATGATGACGATTGGGGCTTTAGGGCGCAATCAACTGCCGTCATTTTACGCCCTAGAGTCCTTGGTACATCCCTACGTGCACGCCGATGAGACACTATGATGCACCCCGATGGAGATATTAATGGTCGGCTGTTGCTCAAGATATGTAAGACCCTGTCAATGTGTTTCTTCAAGCACGATTCTTATGGTGAGATGAGCCTTGTCTGAAGGTCGTCGCTCAGGAATTTGCCCTTATTTTATCGGGTGCAATGGCGACTTACCTGCCGCAGCCTTGCTGAAGCAGCCTTTTCTAAGATTTGTGTCTGTATAAACATTAACATCAAACTTGTCTGACACTCCAAGGCAGTAAGGTAACTGAGTTCCATCCTTTGATGGTACTGATATGTGCAAATACTTAACCCTCAGGTATGCGGGCGATGCTCCGACGACCTGTTCAATCGTTCCGATCCACTGGCCGGGCACACCAGCGCCGGGGGCTGTGTGCCATCAGACTCCCCGGCACAAAGGCGGCGCCGATTTGCCAAATGGAAGGGGTCCTCAAGATTCATCGGCCAACACCCCACCCCGGCACCCTTCGGTAGGCCAGCTTTTCACGGTTTACCCCAGACCGCTCCCTCCCGCTGCAGGATTCTTGGCGCGCGCGGAGCGTCAGCTTCTGGGGCGACGCATCTCGAGGGGAGATACGAGGGGATGGGGGGGGGGGGGGGGCGCGGACAGCCGTCGCCCGGCCCGGGGAGGGGAGGGGTGCGGGAGGCAGATGGCACGCGCTCATTCTTCGCCCCTCGTAAACAGAAGCGTTCTGCTGACCTGCTGTCACCGCTCGCACGAGCCGGCGAGGAGGCCTCGGCGGGGCAGGGGACGGGGAGGTGCTGAGACTCGAGAAGACCTGAGACCTGCACGGTGAGAGGGAAGACCTGCGGCCGGTCCTGTGGGCGTAGAGAGAGTCAGACACCAGCCTGGACTTCTGCTCCTTTGGGAATAGTGGGAAAGGTGTTCTGATGTGGACTGTTGATCGAGGTGTTATTTTCTACGTAGAATATATGATATTGAAACAAGCTGGGAAACAAGATAATAGCTGCTTCAGAAATCCGCGCACGCAGTGGTCTCACACTGAGTGTAACCTCAATCAAAAGGGTGATGTTCCCAGACACCCCTGAATTGTAGCATAATATCTCTACGTAGCCGTGCTGGTGTGCGCAGGACTGTGATTTCACGGCCGAACACATCGCATTTCGCGACGTCTTCCGCCATTTCAGACACTGCGCAGCTGTTCTCATAGCCTTGACCATGTGCCACACCGATCACCGCTACCCCTGGAGTACGTCTCCCCAAAGCCAGAGACGCCACGCGTCTCTGCCGCTGTTGGCAGAGTGTGGAGCGGGCTAGCCCGCCGCCGTGGGGCTGGTTGAGGCGGTGCCGCAGCTACTGTACGGAATAGTCCAGATTGTTCCGATGCGTGACGTGTTCGTGGGAGAGTGGAGGGGCGTATTCCCAGTTTGGGTCAGGCGGAGGTACGGGCTTGGTTCCGGCATGGGTCTGGCGATTTCGGGGAAAACGGCGGGCTCTGGAGGCGTGGCGATGACATGGACGATGTGGGCCCGACTTAAGGCGCGTTATTTTCAGGGCGATCATACTCTGGTTTGTGCTTACGTTCCTGTAGAAGACTGCTGTTCTGCAGAATTATCTGCTCTCTCTCTCTCTCTCTCTCTCTCTCTCTCTCTCTCTCTCTCTCTCTCTCTCTCTCTCTCTCTCTCTCTCTCTCTCTCTCTCTCTCTCTCTCTCTCTCTCTCTCTCTCTCTCTCTCTCTCTCTCTCTCTCTCTCTCTCTCTCTCTCTCTCGCGGGCGCCAAACTTTGAACTCTCAGACGGTTTCCTGCTCTGGGACTCGCCCTCGGGTCGGGTCACCGATAACTCCCGTCTCCCCAGCGTCCGGCTTCGTGTCAGCCTGATCTCCCAATCGCCCGCATCCGGGAAGCGAGAGTGCCAAATCGACGCAGCGGCGGTGCAGCCGCGCCGTTTTCGGTAGCGGCGCGGACCCGGCGTGTTACCTTCGGCGAAACCGCCTGGTACACGTCCGCATGGCGCCGCGCCGGTTCTCAGGCGCCGCTGGGAGCGACGTGCGCCGTCGGGGCCGTCGTGACACGGGCACGGGAGCGGGGGGAGAGGGGGGGGGGAGCGGCCCGGGCGGGGCGCGGCCGCCGGTGCTGCCCCCTGCCAGGCGGCAGCTGCGCCGGCACGCTCGAGGGACGCCGCTGCACCTGCCGGTCCGGGCTGGCCGGCCATGGCCGTCACCGTCCGACGCTCGCTGGATGTCGACCCGACAGAGGTGCACCATTTAAACCAGCGGCTGGGGCAGCACAGCCTCGCCGACCGCCGTCCGCTGCCGTGGCGGGGATGGTCTGCGTCGATCGCGGTCCGCTGCCATGGCAGGGATGGTCTGTGTCAATCGCAGTACGTTGCCGTGGCGGACATGGTGTGCCCCACTCCCCCGATGCGGTCTTCTTTCGGGCATATTGAGCAGGCCCGCTGACAGAGCGCTGGGGTGCCGCCGGGCCTTGACCAGGCCCGCTGACTGAGCGCTGGGATTGCCGTCAGGCCTTGACCAGGCCCGCTGACTGAGCGCTGGGGTTGCCGCCAGGCCTTGACCAGGCCCGCTGACTGAGCGCTGGGGTTGCCGTCGGGCCGATTGGCCTTGCTAAAAGTGGAGCGGCCTGATGCTTGGTGGACGCCATTACGAGCCGGAGGTGCTGCCTAACGTGGCGGTCGCTGAATCTGGCCAAGTATGTCGGTCACACGCCGGCTGATTTTCACGGCTGTCTTTCCAAAGTACGGGAACGAGACCTCGCGTTATGCTGCTGTATTGCATGGCGTGAGTACCGAGAACAGTTCATGTACCAACCATTTGCATTTGACTAGAATGGGGAGTCTCAACGACTTGTCGGATATCAGAATATACGGGCATGTGAGTAGACACGACAGACGCATAAGGAACTGAACATGACAATATGTACAAAAGAAACAAGCCAACGCACGCTAAAAATGAATTATACAAGCTTCTATTCCCCACTTGTAATGCTACCAACTATGACTCAGTACGGGGACCATTGGGGGGCTTCAGCAAAGACTCAGTCTTCATAATGCTCCTTGCGATCGGCGCCGCTGCGTCGATGGCTTACATCGTAATGCCGATCACGGGCGGGCCACAAGCGACTTTGGTTACTAGCTGCTATAGAAATGTAGCCTTTGTACGCGTTAATGCGCCACTAGCTGGCTAACTTACTAGGAAAACGCACACAGACATCACACCGATTCGACCGCCGCAGGAGTTCATCCGACAGTCAGCTGCTCTGAACCGGGCCTCTCGCAGCTGGCGGCTCCCGCCGTTGAGAAATATGCCGGCAGCGTCAACAGGCGGGCCTTTCGCCGGGCTCGCGACAGCAGCGTGAGAGGACGCCGCGCACACACGGTTCTGGCAGAAGCGCGACAGCGAAATAAGAGTCCACCTAGCCCGCCAGTCGTCACGGGATGGCCTCCGTGGTGAACGCCCAGGACAGCACCTGATCCAGGTAGGCGTTGTTGGGAAAATTCAGCCGCCGGTCGTCGGCGGCCGGCGGCGGTGGGCTCGGCGACGGTGAGGGCGAGTCTCGCTGCAGCACCAGATCGCAGCCGCGGAAGACCGTCTCTACCAGACAACGGTGCTCGGCGGAGAGAAGCTCCTGCTGACGCTCCTCCCGCCCCGAACGCAGCAGCGTGCTCAACTGGTCCTCCATGTCCGTGTCCAGCTGGCACAGCAAGCTCAGGTACTCCAGGTAGGCTGACCTGGGGTCAGCGGGGTCAGGTCAGCGACGTAGGTGGACCGTGTGCGCAGCGGGCTGGTGGCAAGTCAGTTGCGAGCATCGAACGGTTATCGCGCCGGCCTTAGCTATCGCACGGTGCAGGTAAATCGATATCGCCCCGAGCGTAGTGGACCGAAAAGAAGCGCGACGAATAATAGTGCAACACACGATATAATCAGGGCCTTAAACATATATGTATTACCTACGTGCCAAGTGCAACCGCCATGTATGCCGTCACTTGGCTCCACACGCTGCTCTTCAAAAGCTTCAGCCCGCTTGGCTCAGTTGTACTGGCGGCCTTTCTTCCATCGGTTGGAGCAGTCCGCTAACTCACCTGGCCTGCAGGTGCTCCGTGAGACCGACCACGGTCGGATCGTCCGGTGCGCGGCCCTCCTCCTCCACCAGGTAGCGTACCGCTTCGGCCACGCAGTCCTGGTAGCCGGCCATGAGCGCGTCCTCCTCGGCCGCCGGCCTGGGTCGCCGGCTGGGGTCGGTGACCTCGGGGTCAGCCGCTGCCGGCGCCAGCTCGCTCTGCACCAGGCCGGGCATCTGAACGCGAGGAGAGACGGAGTCAGACGGGGGACAGCTGTGGTACCGGGGAGAGGCTGGGTACGAAGCCAGCAAAGCGCATTCCTGACCCCACCGCCCTCCCGCGCTCTTCCGGTGGTGGGTATGAGTCGCCGCATAGCGCGGACGGGAGTGAAACCGACGTCCGACGAAAGTAGCGCAATTGCTTACCGCATGACGAGCATCTGTATCCGGTCCGCTGGCACCACGCACCGGGCGCCGAAACCACGTGAGCGCTACCCCACAAGGCTCGGTGGTTTACAGATCTTACCTCTGTCGTTCAGCCGTTGTCGGTGTCCGGCTCAGCAGCGTGTCCGCACAGCACCAGCTCAGCGCCAGCTCCAGCGGTCAGCGGCCGTCCCGCCAGCGGTCCTCGCCGGGAGCGGTCAGTGGCGCGTCGCTGCGCGTGCGGCGGCTGGGGGACTGGCGGCTGGGGGCGGCGCGCGGCAGCGGCCGTCCATCTGCTTCCTGCTGCCGATGGCCGGCGGGCGTGCGGGGAGGGGCACGCGCCGACGACCGCAGGGCAGACAGATGTGCCGCTGCCGCCGCCGGCGCGAGATGGAGCGGGCACGCCGGCCGACAGCGTTCGAATTTGAATGGGGAGGGAGATAGAGAAAGAGAGAAAGAAAGAGAGAGAAAGAGAGAGAGAGAGAGAGAGAGAGGGAGAGGGAGAGAGAGAACATTAGGCACGCAATGAAAAAGAATGGGACGGGTAAGAAATATCAAAGAAAAAGGCCTGCGGTAGGTTTGGAGCTTTATTAAATCTTTGAAATTCCAAGTAACAGATTTCACATATCATAGACCTGTGGTGCATGATTTCGTCTTTTTCAGAATATTTTTTTGGAATTTGAGATTCGCGTGGTTTGGTCAAAATAAGCATGGTGATGCGGTGTGGAAGGCTACCGGGTCAGGCATACAGACGTGCTGCAAGGCTTCACCCATGGCTTAAAATCTTTTAGGTATCGCAAAAATTGTATACATTAAAATGCTTTCCATTGACGTTTTCTGTACCTACCTGCGAGAACACAAAGTTTGATCGTTGTGATTACGCTTAACTCAACACCCGCATGCCGCCATTCAAATTCATCAGACATTCGTGCTTCAGGTTCATTAACAGACGGCAGAATAGAGAGATTTGTTTCGTTTCATACAGCATCGCATTACGTCACCCTGAGCTAGACTGCATGCCGAGCTAGACCGACCTGCTGGTTGCTGTCCGACTGCTAAGTACCATAGCCCCCCCCCCCCCTTGGTTTTAAATCTTCTGCGTACTTAGTCCCTTTTTTAATGTTGTCGTTGTTCCACGGACGTATCCAAATGAATACAGAAAGGCGTCGGCAAGTTAAGTTGTTTTTGTCAAAGAGACGCAGACATGACACAGACATGCTCTGAATTTGCACACTTTTGATGTTTCTAAAAACATTTCTACTGTCTTATACTTTTCATCGGAAACTGAGAGTGCGAATCTCTTGAAAAAAGAAATGCGGAAAGAAAATGTTACCTGCGTTGCTTGAGAGAGGCCTTGCACCAATACCCATGTCGCTCTCTTCCGCTGACTCACGGCGTCCCTCATGGATTCTTGATTCAATGGTTGGTCCTATCCTTTTCAGCATCCTCAAGAACGACCTTCCACTCTACCTCCCTCACTGCGGGCTTCGGTGGCGATCTGGTCCCTGTTCACCCACGCACCGCTGTATGTCAGCGTGCCACCCAGGCGGCAGCGGTGGTGGCATGCTCTGCCAGCTCTTCGCCTGTTGGTGGCACGCAGGGCTTTTTCGTATCGCGCGGTTTCATCTTGGAGCCGCCCGTCGCCGACCACCTTCGCCCTTTCTCACCCTCAAGGAGCTTCGCACCACTCGACGATGCGCTTGTCGTAGTGTGACATTTTGGCGATTAATGATTATGCTTTTGACCAAGTGTATGGACGATGGAATGCTTGATAATGTGCGAGGGTGGTCGCGTTGTTGTCATTTTGTATATTGCACTTATGCTACTATTGTACTTGTATCGAATCCAGCAACATGTCACTTGTACCGATTCTTAAATACGATGAGGTTAACTTCAATTTGAACCATGCTCTATAGCAGCCACTGTTGGTGTCAATTTCCTTCAGAATTTATCTTGAGACACTTCAGCTTGAAGGACACATGGTAGACTTGGCCATACACCTGCATAGGTATATGCAAATAGGTGAGTTTTAATGGCTTAAGAACGCACACAATTGATTTCCAGTTACGTACTTAAAAAAAGACGTTTGTCCGCACACCATGTCATCTCCTGCCTGGTCATTTTCTCTTCATGCTGCGGCCTTAACAGTATTTCCTTAAGCATGACACCTAAGAGAGAATGCAACGCCATGCTGCAGTACAAAGGCAAAAGGGCATAAGCGTCATTTTATCATAAATTGAGTTGTTTGTATTATTCGATGTAGCTCAAAGAACTGCATTCAATGATGTAACATGTGAAAATTGAAAGAATGGGCTCGAAATATGCCCGAATTCGTTTTGCTAAGCACAAACGAATGTTTAGTTCTTCGAAACCTAACAATGCTTCTCCCGAACAATTTGCCTGATGGCACATAGGCATTTTTGCCTTGGTGCGGCAGAACAGCGATAGTCGTATAATCTGAGTGCTATAGAGCATCGCGCCACGGCGTCTTGAATAGATAAGTTGAGGAGAACTTGTCAATCATTCTGTTGTTTTACATTGGCTGTGATTCGGGAGACCTCTTCTGCTTGCCCTGTCCCTATAACATTCGTCTTGGGTCAGTGTCCACACACGACTAAATGATGTACGAAGGATTTGCGTTTAATAAGCCATAGCTTTTAATCGCGTTTCAGGGGGCCCGACCTGGTTATCTTAGCTTGGCGTGCGCTCTAGCCAGATAGTTTGGCATGATGCTCAAATCAGGCAGCTTGGCGTGACGCTCTAGCCAGACAGCTTGGCGTGACGCTCTAGCCAGACAGCTTGGCGTGACGCTCTAGCCAGACAGCTTGGCGTGACGCTGTAGCCAGACAGCTTGGCGTGACGCTCTGGCCAGACAGCTTGGCGTGATGCTCTAGCTAAGCAGCGCGACAATGCTTGGGCGGAAGCCGGGAGCAGGAACACACACATTTATTTAAATAATGTGAATTTTCTATAGCCAGCACGGAATTATGCGCTATGCCAGAAAAGTGCGCTCGCCCTTTGCGCTCCACCTGACCATTAGAGTATATCTAAGCCTTGCACTTGCTAGCCCCCCCCCCCCCCCCTGTGGCTTTTGCGTTTGGAAATTTGGATCACAGAACATTACAGTAACTATAAGCGAAAGGTTGCGGCCGTCACTTGCTCAGAGATCTCGCGCTTGTGGAAACGAAATCAAGCACGCACGCCCCAGGGTCCGTCACAGTTCAGCCCCCCTCCCCTTCCACACACACACACACACACACACACACGCACACACCTACACCTACGCACACACACACGCACACACACACACACGCACACACACACACTCGCACACACACACACACACATACACACACACACACACACACACACACACACACACACACACACACACACACACACACACACACACACACACGCACACACACACTGCGGTGATACGTGTCGTCTCCAAAGGAATGCGGCACACGTCAGCCAGCGGGTCGCGTGCCGGGCCATCAGCTGCCATCCACGGTCGACGTGGCGCCGGCTGAATTTCGGTGCTGCCGGTCGCTGGGCGGGTTGGCGGGCGGTCCGTCAAACGGTCATGATCTAATGGCGCGTGCGTATCCCCCTCCTCGCCCCCCCCCCCCCCCTCCCCCCGGCCGCCGCGGAGCGTTGGCCGCGGTTCGTTGGCTCGACCGGCGGGGGCAGGCCGTCGCCGGCCAGAACAGCTGTTCGTCGGCGGCGCATGCAGCTGTCACTCGCGGCCAATCAGCAGGCGCACAGCCCGGCCGCCGGCCAATTGGCGTGGTTGGCGCGTTTGAACGGCGCGCCTCGCGCGCGTGGCTTCGTTTAGTTGATATCAAACCGTGGTGGCAGGGCCGCCGGGGGACATAGAATCCCCCGTGTGCCAACTGGCCGCCCAGGGCGACCTTCAGTGACGCCTGTGCTGGCGTCACTCGCCATATGGGATAGGCTGCCCGGTTTTTGTGATTTGTGGCGCCCGCCATTCGATTTTTTCTGCCATACGAGGGACCGTGCGAAATCGGCTCGGCGGGAAGCGGTGCCGGCACGTAAAAAATCGCTCATTCTGCCGGCAAAAACCCGACGGGAACAGAAGGTGAATCATTTATGAAATTGACCCTGGCGCTTTTATCTAAGCTACGCGTTGTCGGCTCAGCGCACAGAAATGCCGTGGCAGTCGATGCGAGGGAACAGACTTGAAAATCGAATAAAGACAGCCAAGACTCCGACCCTGGGCTCGGTACAAGAATGCTGCAGCGTGAGAAAGAGGTTCCATGCTATTGTCAGCATGTCCAAAATTCCCACAGAAGTCTCATCAAAGCCTCTAAGCTGTAGCATGTTGGTGGATACGGTTGATATCAAGCCTAGCATCGCCAGCGAACGCACACAGCTCATACGCTTGTCAGCCTGGTGAAAATGTATCTATTTCATACACCTCAAGGCATTAAGACGGCAGGCATATTTTAATGGTGCGTGCGCTGAAAGGAATGCTCGTCTCCTTGGCCGGTGATCGATTATTAAACGCATCGCTTTGTATCTTGCGGTCGATACCTAAACATCAGCTGCAGCGTTCATCATGAAAAGATTCAATCGAAATCGAATATGCGCTTGGATAGCAGTGTCGGAAGATTTTCATCGCGCTTTATAGTGTAGTCAAGAGACAAAGTAGGGCGGTGGCTGACATTAAAGAAAGTGTTCACGAAATAAACTTAAATTTTGTTTTCGAAAATAACTTCACGCGATGAAGTACGTTGCGTCCCCAAACATGATAACACTATGCAGCAGAGCGTGCCGGACCACAGAGTCCTGTGCACCGCACGGCCGGCCGTAACACGGGGAGGAACGCGATTCAACTTCGTGCGCACTGCCTGCGGACCGGACGGCCAGCCGGTCAAAATCGCCCGGTTCTCCGCCTCCTCCGCCCTCGGCCGCCTCACGCACGGCAGCACGTTCACTGATAGCCGGCGGTACATCACTGACAGGCGGTGGTACATCACTGGCAGTCAGTGGTACATCACTGGCAGTCGGCGGTATACCACTGAAACCCGGCGGTACAACATTGACACCTGGCGGTACATCACTGACACCCGCCGATACATCACTGGCACCCGGCAGGTACATCACTGGCACCCGACGGTGCATCACTGACGGCCAGTGATACATCACTGACAGCCGGCGGCTGGCGGGGCGGCGGTGGCGGGCCGCCTCGGTCTGGGGTTATCCGAGGGCGGTCCGACCCCAGACGTCGGTCCCGGCGGCCCCGCCCCGGAGGCCAGATCATCCGGTCCCGCCCGAGCGGCCGGCAGCGCCCCAGGGGCAGGCTCGAGCGTCTTGCCGGCCGGCGGGCACAGCTGCTCGAGCAGGCGGGCGTACTCGGCGAGCAGGTGGGAGCAGACGCCGAGCACAAGCGGGTGGTCGGCCGGCAGCCGCTCCTCCTCCGTCAGGTAGCGCACCGTCTCGCCGATGCAGAGGGTGAAGCCGTAGAGGAAGGCGGCCGAGGAGGGCGGCACGTCCGAAGACGCGGCCGCCGCCGCCGCCAGCCTCTCCAGCGTCTCCAGCGGGTCAACACCTGCCGACCGACCACCGGCGGTCAGAGGCACTCAGACAGATCAGACGGGCGCCTGGGACGAGCTGCGGTAGGCGTGCAGCTTGGGCTGTGGCTTTCATTGCAAGAGTGCACTGCAAACGCCACATAATCTCTAATGCTTTTAGCATGTACAAATGTAGATATTCTTGGCCTGTACCATTTTCCACTGATCTTTTGATCGCAAATGCACCCGTTTCAGTGGGAGAGGCAGGGGTGTGACCTAGTATATGTGAACACATCGGTTGCGTGTGAGGCCAGCCACTTCCATGCTCGGCGGGGCGCAAAGCATACCATTTCCAGAGCATGCAGCCGTTCACATGGGTGTAATTATAACATGCAATAATGGAGCATTTCAATGCGATATGAAAGAGAAAATCATGTTGAATATTTAACGTATGGACAGTTCTGTCAGCTGCGAGCAAGACGCTCATTCGACCGGTGATGGGCTGTCATGCCGAAGTCCAAGCACTTAGATATGAGGGGGGGGGGGGGGGCGTCAGCCAGAGGCGGACTGCCCAGCGGTGGCTACTGACCAGCTGCGGCCGGCTGGTGGATCAGCGCCTGTGACGTCAGGTCGGCCAGCAGCTGAGCCTGGTCCTCCTCAAAACCCGAGTCGTTCATCTCCGTTTGTGAAGGGATCGAGTCAACCGGCCGTCCGACTGAGATGCGCCCGAGTTCAGCCTGGCAGCAGATATACCTGATGTCAGTTTCTCGTCAAAGCCATTATTTCCGTGCAGGGCATTGGGCAATTTCTGAGCACCCTGTCCACAAATGCAACCGCACAATCCATTAGTCAAAACTATGAGCGACGGTGTGTGTTACACATTTCCTCTGAGGAAATATATGCTCATTTTACACCGTGGTGTATATTATAAGAGTCTTTCCGATTTACACACAGTACATCATGCCATGTTTCGGCCGGTACCTACCTTTTAACAGCAAAAGTAGACAACAAATCAGGGTGGTGGACTTGCCAGATATCATCGGGCAACTACCTTACTCCTCTTAATATGACGCGATTTTTTACCAATTTGTGAAGTCTTTGTTGCTTTAGTGTTCCCCTACACCGTCCCATGTACCACGTTCCAACCAGTTGTTCACGCACGGCACGCTTTTACTGCATCATTCCAGTTGAGTGCACAATTGGCTTACCCCAGACGTACACCACTACAAAAGACTAGCAATGTGCGGCAAAGTACGAACATATGCCTTGAAAAGACGCATCTAACAGCCATTTGTCCCCGTTCCCCTGTTTCAACGGTGCCTGGGCGGCGGCGGCGGCGCTGTGGTGGCGCCCGGCTCGGGCGGCCAGCCGTGCTGCCCGCCACCGGGGTCCCGGCCCTCCTCACCTGCGGCGGCGCGTGCACCCTCTGCCCAGGCTCCGTCGGCGAGTGGCCGCCAGATGCCACGGCCGGCGCCGGATCTCACGGGACCGCCCGCGGGCACGCCTCAGCAGCCGGCGCCGCCTCACCTGGAGCGGGCCCCTGGCGGCGGCTCCTGCTGCCGCTAGGGGCGGGACCGCCGACCGGTGCCGGCTCCAGGCGGTGGCCGCTAACAGCGGCGCCCCTGGCGGCGGCTCCCGATGCCGCAAGGGGCCGAGCCGCCGACCGGAGCCGGCCCCTGACAGCGGTCCTTACGCACGACACCCTGATGCTCATTGCCTTCATGCATGACACCCGCGTGTCGTGGAGCGGCATGACCGAAGGTGAATCATTTCAGGAGATGGCACAACACACAACAAACTGACAAGGGCCCGTGATTGGGTCGCGAATGCTGTCTGTCGCCCGCACCGGCGCGACCGTCGACTGGAGCTGGCCAGTCGGCGTAGAGTCTTAATTTAAAGAGAATGTTTCACATTTGTATGGCGTTTTGAACTGAAATGGCCGTCTTGAGGACCTTTTGAGGCTTTTCACGGTCATGTCCTTTTTTTAGACCCAAAATGATCTGGCTCCTTAGTTACACGCCCGCAAAAGTGCGAAAAGGTTTATTGGGAACCTATTTCAAAGTCGCCTTGGCATTAATGACTTCATAGAAACGTTATGCGATCGTGGTCATTCTACAGGCTGTTTTCTGCTTATGGTCAAAACAGCATGGCCGCTGACACATTCGTAAAAGCGATGATGCGGCACGTATGATGCAATGCGCGCGGAAGATCATTTGCTGTTAGCAAGATTTCGCTCCTGACTGCGTGTCGAGAATGTAAGCGTGAGCACTTTCGGGTTGTACAGTACTTGTGAACGGGGCATAAGGCCATAGGTCGATGTTAAAAAAAACGCCACTATCTGTTAAAAAGTGCGGCACCCAAAAAACGAGTACCTACCCGAAAGTTAAAATAAAGAATATGCGACGCCAAACCTATATTTATCCCCTCCAGGCGCTTTTTTTCTTGTGACGTATTTCTTGCAGACAGCTCGGTTCGGGTCTTGTGTACCGGAGCACAGAACCTTGCACAGGTTTATGGGTTAGCAAGGTATTATAAAATTAGGGGTACATTACAGCAATGTTAGATATATATTGCACTATATAATTCACACATATTGCACGACGAATCGAAATGCTGAGAAAAAATTGTGTTCTACAAGTACAGCCTCTTAGGACACATTACTATAAACTCTTGTTGGAACTTTGTTTAGAAGGCAGGTCAAGGTGAGATGTCGTGTTATTACCGAAAATCTGCGCGGAAATTGCGAGAAAACCTGCAATTTGATTGTCCCACGAGCTCTGCAAGTGCGAGATCACACTTATTTGATAAAAGTGCGAATCAGGGGTTTGAAATGTGTGATCACTGGTGGCGTGCGCCAGCGGCTTGTATTGATCTTGATGTGATGGGAAGTGTGCGTGCGAGGAATGTCCTTCTGACAGAACATTGTTTTGGTATTCTTTAAGTCTGCTGACTCCCAATAAAATCTGATGTATCGATGCCTCTCTCTACCCCTATGTTTGTGTTTGGAACACGACAAAGGAGGTCTTGCAAACTAAGAGAAACACTAGCGCCTATGTTGTAGGGGGGGGGGGGGGGGGTACAAAAGCATTTGGACACTTCGTTATGATCTCGCCAACATTTTAAACTTATTGAAGTATTTAAGCATGCAATTCATCCATTGCATGTCATTACGTCAGCAATATATTATATTATGTACTTTGGTAGTAGGGGCTGATGCATGGAGCTTGTTAATGGACATGCTCAGGATAGCCTCACGTCATACGGCTTTGCAAAATTGTCTTTCCCTAAAAAAATGTAAAAATATAGAGCTGTATTGTTACTGATGCACATTGTTCTGTCATCACAAATTCGGTATGCAGGCGAGCATTGCTTGTAAGTCATGAATGTCATGGTCACTGCAACTTGCGTGAGATGCTTGGTGCTGAGAAAGGTGTAAAACTACTGCTGATGGTGTCTTGGATGGCAATTAATAATATTTTGTTCATGAGCCTTGTGTGCGCTGGCAGCTTCATCACTTCCTTGCATTTCGTCCATTGAACCATAACCACATGGACTTGTCTTGTCTCCAGCCTTGTGCAAGGCAGAATATTTGCAGTGCCAGTTCACCGCCTGTAAAATTTTCCTGTTACTTCTTAGTAAAGCAGCCTAATGGCTGCAGCATGTTGTATGACTGTGAAAGTGGTAGATGCGTTTGCACCTTTCTCACCTACGTTTTGTGGATTCCCAAAACAGGCTGACCAAGTGATGCCACTTTTTGGCTATCCGCTTTGCTGAAAGTGATTTGTATGTTGTATGTGTTTTAGGTCAGTCATATGTCAGGTGGGGAGTCAATGAAAGAATGCACGCTTGACCCATCTTTTCAAGATGGAATTTATTATGAAAGCAGCATGGATTGCGATGCAAAAACCATGTCGTTGTTCATTACGTCATGCCACAGTACAGGACCGAGATAGTGCCACAATGACGCTGTTGACCCGTGCTATTACACGATGCACCACATTGTTTGACTACTCTACGCAAAGCCTATGAGACAGACGCTTATAAGTTATGACGGGCTTGTAACAACTGATTTACCAATACCAAAGGTCTATCAACAGCAAGAAGGCCATTGCACCACAATGGTTATGTCAGGGTTAACTATTAATTGTATGAATGATACTAAGCAAGAAAAGCATTCTTGGTAGCCCAACTTTACCATCTTTACCATAGCAGTAGCAATGCACTGGCAATCAACTCATAGCAACGGTACAAATTTATTAATTTTCGCATGACACCGCATTTTCAGTTACAAACTGCTGCTGCAATAAACAAGTAACTGCTGTGCACATCACCTAACATCAATGCCGGGACTACAGCACTGTAAGCAAGGATAGGTCGACAATACAGTATTGACCAAATCACCAACAGCATACCAGCAACAGCAACAGCACAGCATATCGTGCTTTGATATTAGCAATCTGCCATAAAAGCTGGCGATCGCTACATTGCGTATGTCAAACGGTCCACCAAGACCTTTCCTACTGCTAGCACCAATACAAAAAAATCAACAGTCAAACCACCCGCTAATGACCGCCCGACACAGCACCCGTGACGAGAATGGCCGGCTGTCGTCAGCTTTCGTTCATGTGTTTCGAGGTTTTCTTTAGGTCTGGCTGGCAGACGCTGCCAGGTATTGCTGTCTTCACAAAACCATTCCATGACGCCTCAGACAGTAACGTAATGGAGCGCATTTGTATAATCTTTCAAAATTGTGCTACTTAGCGTCGTTTTTGAACTTTGAAAGCATACCAACAGTTACAAGTAAGCTTTTCCCATCATATCTGATGCATACCTCAATATCTTCAAATGTGGAACATTCCCTTCAAGGGGAATGCTTCGCGTTTGAAAATATTGAAGCAGGCAGCAGATATGATGAAACAAGCTGACTTATGTCTATTGGAGTACTGAAAAGTAGACAGGCCTGCTCTGATAACACTATTTCTTTGTTCAGTAGATATGCTCCTCAATACGTCATTGTTTGATTATATCATCGTAACTTGCGCAACATTCATCGAGGGCCAGCTGATAGCCGTTGTGTCTGGGAATCGTGCTCAAGAACGCCAGATATAAACGATACGGCGGCATGATATTTTTTCGTCTTTGATCGTCGGATGGCTTGTGGATTGACAGGTTTTGAATGACGTTATTATGACGTCCTAACTTCCAAGGTGACATTGAAACACTCTTCCCGATATGTCTTCCCCCACTTTCGCGGGCGGGTGGCTCAGAAACTAGAGGGGTTTAGGTCTTAAGAAGGGCGGGGCTGTGAACAGCACCAAAAGGTGTTCAAGACAACTAGTTCAGTTAAAAACCCCATATAAATGTGGAGCACTCCCTTTAGATTATGTTTGGTCGTGTGTGGGAGATCCGGCCGTGTGCGGTGTAGGACCATCATCAGCTGGTAGTGCAAATCGCTCATCGGCTGACGAACTTTTGTATTCAAATTGCTCCTGTACTGAGCATTGCTATTTGCGACCGGCCAGCCCGTAACGTGATGGCCAACATGTGACGGCCGGGGAAAATTAGGGCGCATTATTGACGGCGTCCGGCCCGCCCGTAGCCTAACGCAAAAACGCGGCCGTGTGCATGCGATAGCGCTGGTATAGGGCTGTGAGTACAGCACGTTTTCCTATTCTGGTGTTTATTTTGCTTTTTTGGTCGGCAGACCAAGATCGTCTCCTTTATTGCCGGCTGGCCGGCCGCAATCGCGATTTACAAAGATACGGCGTCAAATTTAAAACACATTTAGTTGTGTGCCGCGGGTTCGTCCATGCGCGTACAGTGTCATTGTTTTAGCATTGTCAGTCGGCTACCTAAACAGCTCATCAGCCGATATGTCCTCTTTTGCTCAGCTCACCCCTTAACAGCGTATTGATAGCTGCTTCCAGCATTCCTGCAGCGCAATGGCCAGAATACGGTGTCCAGGAAACAACACTTATAATCATGCTTGAATGATGCAATAGAATGCCTTCGATAGTGCTGTTATAGGGTCACTAGCTGCCAGTATGGCACACTTGTCTGATTCTGGTTTCCACTTTGTTCCTTCGATCCCCGACAGCTCACCCAATGCTGGTGGTCGGGCCGAAGCAACGTTATGCAAAGATACGGCGAAAACCATCATCTACTCATTAAACTGCATTAAAATACATCGACTGGTGTGCGGAGTGGGCGCAAACGATGACATTGTGGGAACACTATTGGCCGGCAATAAAAGTCGCTCATCGGCGGAATGGCCTTTCTTCATTCAAACAGCCCCATGACAGCGCACTGTTTTCTGCGGAAAGCATTCCCGTCGCGTGGTGGCCAGAACACCGCGGCCAGCAAACGATACTTATAATCGTTCGCAAAGCGTGCGGCTGTGCCTGTTGGCTATCAATTGTTTTTGGTTATCAGCTGTCATTGCAGCAGACATGCTTCATACTGTTTCTAATTTTTGATCG